TGTGTGTGTGTGTGTGTGTGTGTGTGTGTGTGTGTGTGTGTGTGTGGGATGCTGGTGCCTAGGCCTTTAGAGATTGTTGGCAAGTGGTCGCGAAACAAGACCAAGAAGATTGCGATATTTGTTCAGAGTGGATCTGTCGAGGCTGCGCAGACAGATACGTCATGTGTACGGCGGAAGAGACTGGAGTCTACGCTGAGACAGTTGAGTCGTTCGGTCGGCTATGTCCCTCGTCCGTTGTCTTGGCAAGAACACAGCTAGAATCGTAGGGTTCACTCCGTCTCTACTCTGATCACTAGAGTCTTTGCTTCGAGAATCCATCCTCAACGTGTTTCCACATCCAGAATAACACACACACCCTCTCCTTTCTACCGAAGAGCGACACTTGCAATGCAACGTCTAGATTTTGACCATCGGGGAATGTACTCTCGAGCTGGTTTTTCCTTCCCTCTCCTCCTTTACCCCCGATTTCAAATATACGGAGGACCCAGAGCAGTCCTAAACTGGCTCAGTACGACCTCCACCACCAACAGCAAAACACCACCACCCGGTGCCAACCTCAACACCTTGGGCGTGAATCCCTTGTACAACGCACCGAATCCCTCCTCCTTGGCGATCATCGCCATGCTCGGGAACGTCCAGTTGTATTTTCTCGGAACACCCTTGACGTTCGGAGTATTCTGAATTCGGCTCTTGACGACATCGGCGGGGGTATTGAAGACGGTACCTACAGCGCCACCTACGGCACCGCAGAGGAAATCGTTCCGCAGCTGCTGGGTTTTGGTTTCCGCCTTGGGCATTTGAGCTCGGAGGGCAAAGATGACGGAAAAGTAGCCTCCGTTCCACAAAACGTGACGCCAGAAGGTAGATTCGAGTCCGGCGTACAGTCCCAACAGACCGTCGGCTTTGACGATCTTGGAGACGACATCCATGGGTCCCGTGTAGAGGTGAGCTTGGGCTTTGTCTTGCAGACGGATTTTGACGAGTTCGAAGGGTACGACGACGATGGATTCGGTGGCACCGGCGGAGCAGCCGGTGAGGACGGAGAGCGATTGCGTCATCTTTTCCTGACCCGTGAGCGAGCGGTATGTTTTACCCCAGAAGTCGTTCGCTGCGAACTTGACCGCTCGTTTAGGCGCCTCGAGCATCAGAGGTGGTACGAGACCGCGGTACAATCGACCCGCACTGTACAATCGCAAATTAAGATGTCAGTTTCGTGTTCTCTCTCGATCAAGGCAGATGAGCGAGGGGGGTTGAAGACTTACCCTTCGCTAGCAATGATTTTACGGAAAGCATCCATCATGCCGTTGTAGTGCTCTCCAGCGGCAGCGCCTGCGACGGCCTTGCCTTGCAACTGCATACGTGTCTTGACCACATCGAGAGGGTAGAGGCAGAGCAGTTCGGTGACACCGGCGATGGCACCGGCAGTGAACTGCGCGTAAAAGGGTAATGGTTTAGGTTGCGAGGTCGTCATCGTTATGGCCACCGCTTCTTTTTTTCCGGTAATCGAAAGGGGTGTGTGTGTGTAGGATGTGGATGAAAAGGGAGAATCATCTGACGAGGAGGAGGGGGGAAATGCGGTTGCGAAGAACTGTCGCTCCCCCTCTTCGGCAATCGCCCGCACCGATTACAGATCACCGCGCATCCAATCCTCCCTCGCTCTTCTCTTTGCGCACAGGCGCGGATTTTTTTATCAATCAGGCGCCCAACCTGTCTCTTCTGATCGTAATTTTTATCACACCCTTCTCCCATTCGTCCAACTCTCTCTGTCTCTCTCTCTCTCTCTCTCTTTTGACCGGCAAGTTACCGCACTTTTCCGCGAGATACCCGATAATCCAGCCAATTTCTTCCGTTTCCTCTCTGACTTCAACCCCGGCAAAAAGATCAACAGCTGCAACACCCCCACCCCCAACCCATTCGATCTGACATTTCCTCGCTTCTCCCACGGTCCGGATCGTCCGTTTGGTGCAGACGTTTCGACGTGTCCCCCACATTCGCAAAAGTCCGCCTCTGTCGATCGCCTCATATATACAGGATGCACTTGCACACACGCACACGTTGAGTATTCCACACTGATTGAGAAGAACGACACATTGCGCATGCGAGAATGCTCTTCCTGAACCCTTATGTCGACCGAAACCGTTAGCAGCTGCAGCCGTTAGACGTCGACGCTCACGTCCTTCTGCCATTCTGAGCTTCTCCCAGTACCTCATTGGGCCTCTTGATGCCTCTCAGCGAATCACCTGACACGTACCCATGATTCGTAGGTTCGCCGGTGGCCCGCCCTGCTGTGGCGACACTCCCCGCTGCCCCCTCGACTCCGCCCATGCCATCCAACGTAGTCGAATGCATGCGTCGAGAAGGTGCATTCATCCCCGCAGTTCGCGATGCACTCGCTCCCGTCGACGCAGCCGACAGCGACGACGTTCCGTTCCGCATCAAATTAGCGCCGCTCGTATACGCCCCCGAGCCTGGTGCCAGCGTCGCACCCGCCTTGAACACACCCCTCGAAGGTGCTGCTGACGCTCCAGCGGCGACTACCTGCGGCGGAGGCGAGACGAACCGACCCACGCTGCCTGCTCGACGAGGCGCCCGCGTCGCTTCCATCTTGACCTGCTTGACCGGACTTGTAGAGCGTCGCACCTCGTGCGTCTTGACCTTTTCCTGCTTGATCTGCATCGCGTTGGACCCGTCGGCGAAAGCAACCCCGCTGTCGTCCGCACCACCGTAGTTCGGATGCAAGACGCTGCCGCTCGTATCTTCCACATCCTCAAGCTCGGCAGGGTGGTGCGGACGCTGAGCCTCGTCGATCTCCATCTCGAGCGCTCGCGATGCCGCTTCAGCATCGCCCATCGACGTCTCGTCGTATCCTGCCAGCACGTCGTTCAAGCCGTCGTCGAACGAGTCGGATCCGAACTCTACTTCAGCGGCTGCTGTCGTCGCTCGTTGCCCACCGCCGTTGGCGTTCGTCACGATCTGGTGCGATTCTGTGGGTCCAGCTTTGCGAGTCTCGGCTTGCTGGCGCTCCAGAAATGCCTGCCGAGCGAGCATGGACCGTTGCTGACGCTCTAGGATCTCGTCCTTGGATGCGTTGGTGTCGTTGCCGCTCTTCGTGGTGCTGTTGCTGGCATTCGTTGTGATGGGCTGTTGCGGAGGTGCCACGTTTGTACCCCTTCGTCCTGACTCCTGTGCCGTATTGGCATCATGTCCGTTCGCCGCTACGGCTGCCGCCCTTGGTGCAGGTTGCGGTACCGGCGGATTCGTGGACCTGCCCGGCTGCAGCTGTGGCTGTGGCTGTGGCTGCGGCTGCGGAGGATTCATTCGAGCTGGCGCTGGTGCCGACGGCGGTGGTTGTGGCGCTGCCGTTGGAGGAGGTCGCAGCTCGGGCCTGCGATGCAATTCCGAAGCATCAAACTTGGGCGGCGGATTGCTCACCTTGAGCGCATTGGCCGAGTACTGATGATCGTAGGTGCAGTTGCCGAGCAGCTTTCCAAAGTTCTTGAGCGCTCGCTTCGTTGCATCCGTCACCGCCTCCTTCTTGCCCTTTTCGAGCGCTGCGTGCTTCTGCCTGGCATTCTCAGCACTGCCATAGCCAATATCCTCGTGGAATGCACCGTCGCGCAACGTCACTCGCACGACGCAGCTGACGCCGGCGTTGAAGCGCGTTCCGTCCGGAGAGCAGTCGAGAAAGTCGACGTCGAGGCGAACGATGGTGGTGGACCATCCGTTGAAGCCAAACACTTCGTTGGCGAGATCGACGAGCTTCCAGCCTTCGATGTAGGTGAGCTTCTTGCCTCCGCCTGGACCGGGTCGCTGTGAGAGGTATTCGGGACCGAGCCGTTGGTTGAGCTTGGCTTGCAACGTAGCGACACGAGATGCGCTATCCTGGGTGAGCCCACCTACGCCGTTGAACGTTTGAGCGCCCCATCCTCCCGGGTAGTCGTACTGCGTGAGGGCGCGAGGATGCCGGCTCGTCGATGGACCCGCTTCGGCGGCGCCATACTGTGCGATCTCGGCTGTGTCAGCCCCTGCATAGCCAGAGTCCCAGTCTGCAAAGTTGCTCATCTCGTTGTCCGCAGCGAAAGCGTCGTCGCGATTGGCAGTGCGGCTCGAGGTGCTGTGATGGTCTTGGCGGTCGATTGTTGCGCCTTCACTGCCGCCGCCAAAGGGACCTGGCTCTGATGCGCCGAACGGATGCTGAGAGGGGTATTCGGAGACGACCTGTTGCCGGTCTTGTTGCAGCTTTTCAAACTCTGCGATGAGCTTGGCCGAGTGTGCCGCAGCTGAGTTCATGGATGGATCACACGCAGATGGCCACGATGCTGATGCGAGGTCTGGAAAGTCGTCATGCGCTGTACCGAGACATCGCGAACCGATGCCGAGGCGTGGTGATGTACGAGACGATGGATGCTGGTGGCGAGCGACGACACTGAGTCTGGCGGTGGAGTGACCGTCTGCGGAAAGCTCAGCACGTACACTGGAGCTTGTTCGGTGAGGAATATTGAGATCGGCAAGATCCGAGCAGAAGTGTGACCATTTTGACTCAGCGTTTTCAGAGAGAGCTGCGTACAGTGTAGTAGCAGGCTGATTTTCCTTGCCTTTTTTCCACAGGTGGAGAGAGTGTAACGAGGACGCGCCTCGCTGTGCCCGAATGCTCGAGAGGCGCGTGTTACGAGCAAGACGCGTAAATGAATTGCACGCGCCACGTGATTTGGGAGACTCGGCTGATAGACCAACACCTCGCTGCAGTAAGCAGACGACGGCGAGATGCGCGAGACCTGCACAACGTCGAATCACCAACCTCGTTGTGAGATCGATGGAGGTTCAAGCTTGCAGTTGCGGTCGAGGCAGAACAGCAGAACGGTGACGTGCAGAATGCGTCGCTGACTCTCGATCACGACGCTATCGTGCAACTGGATGAGAAAATCAACTTGCATTTGACAGTGTAACACCGAAAACCGGCGGGACACAGCAAAGCTTTTTACAAACCGAGGAGGCGTAAGAAGAAGAAGAAGAAGAAGAAGAAGAAGAAGAAGAGGCTGAGACCGTGGGGCGAGTGACAATCTGGGCGACAAGGGGATGGGTGACGCGGAGACATGTGCGAATGTGGTACAGAGTTGCAGGTCTCTGATGGGCTTCTGCTGCAGCTGACCCCTATCTGTCCAACAATAAATCTCCGTTGGTGGCGCCCACTGGTCGTGCTGTCAGAACCAGAGTCGATTTCGACGCTCATCGAAGCGGGTGAAGTCTCACAGCACGCTGACAGAGATAGCCTGAACGACACTATTTGTCGGAACACTCGCGTCCGGTAATAGGGGTGCATCGTGAGTCAACTCTGGACTGCAGATTGGCCTAACTTATCAGGTCATTTCTGTCCTTTGCGGCGTTCGCGGAGCGTGGGTGAAAGAGAGCGCTTCCGAAGACGTAGGGGTGAAAGTGTCCACCTCCCGACAAACGATACGTTGGCCGTACGACTGTGTGACGACTTAAGAAGCAAAAGCTCGAGTCTGAGGGGCGGGGCGGGGAAGGGTGGCGGGGGCGGCGGCTGTCTGGAAGCGACGTAGACAAGCGAGCCATGGAAAAGCAGATGCCGTGCGCGTCTCGTGCTCCGGACAGCTGCGTCGCGTCGATCCGAACGTGTGGGGTTTGCAACCGCCTGCGCAAGATGGCGAGATGCTTCTGAATCCAGGGACCTCCTTGCACATAACACAGTGTCGAGGAGTGCTGAAAAGCGCCTCCTGCTCCTCGAGACCGTGGACTTTGATTTTTGCGCATCCCGGTGGCTAGTGATCACCGAGATCCCATCCCGAGAAGGGAGACAAGAGGAAAAGGCAAGGCTGTACGGATTACACTGAATACAGTGTATGCCAGACGCGCACGCAGGTTTGATCGACAGAGGTTTCATTTTCAGGTGGCCTCCCTTTTTCCTTGTCCCTTTCTCATCAAGTGGGGGATGATTGTGTGCATGGCTCTCGAGAGAGAGACAGCTGGCGAGAGGGCCAAATTGCCTCGTCTCCGCCGCTTTCGGTATTTCCGTGCCTGTGGCTAGGTGATCTGCGCCTCGCTTGTCGTGCTGTGTCTCAGTCGTCGAAATTTTGGCCGGTTGGTTGCGTTCGAATGCTGTTTCGAAGTTTCGCGGTTGTCAGCTCTCGTTGTTCACTTTTCGTCCTTCCTCTTCGCAGGCTGCCCACAGTGGCGGGATGGACCGAGAGAGCGGCCGAGACGGCGTTGGAATCGAGGGGAGTCCAAGGGCCTTCTTGCTGCAAGGCGGACAAATTGCAGCGCCTTCAAGTTAGATTTCTCCGTCTCAGGGCGGGTCGCGTCAACGTGCCTGGTCTTCATTGCTTGAATGGGTGGCTCACTCGCCCCTTGCTTTGAGAGTTTTGATGCTCTTTCTCTCTCACGCTTGCCAAGCAGTGCACCGACTTCTTCCATTTACAGACATCACGATGGATCTTGCCTTGTCGACGGCGGCATGCTTTTCAAGCGGTACAGTGATGCACGAGCACCCCTCCCTTTGGGTCTGTCTTGCTCGAGAGTCTTGGCTGACGAACTGAGACAGCATAATTTGAATGAGCCAACGTTGCCGACTCGCAACTTTAATGGAAAGGAGCAAAGGCGGACTCGGAGAGAGACAGGCTGAGCGCGCCCTCATTTTGCAAGTCCGACAGAGGCACACAGATCCCAGTCACGCCCGCCCGCCTTGCCAGCGCCTGCGAGCTACACACATACAGTGGACTGCGTGCCGCCCTTGAAAGTGTGTTGTGTTTTTTTTTGGTCAAAATTGGGCTCAGCTGCCCGCTTCTCCGGCACAGGCAGGCGGAGCGCGGCGTAAGAAAAACAAAATGCAACCCGCGCCCAGCAGAGTTGCCAACACGCACGCACGCACGCAAGCAACACACCAACGGCACGCCAACACACACACCCACACACACCCACGCAGCTCCCGTTTTGGTTCCAACACACACGCACACGCACGCTCACCTCACACGCTTGCCGCGCTCCCCTTTGGCCCCTTCCCTCGCCTCTCTGTTGGTTTCTCTCTCTTACGCTCCCATTATCTCGCCCCTGCTGGTCACCACCCTTGTCTCCTATTGAGTTGCGTCGTACCGCCCTTCTCGACCTCCTCAACCTCGATCGTCATCAGTGCTCGGCGTGGCACAGCACCGCGTATCGAAAAGGCGAGGCAACCACAGGATTGGACGGCACTGGGAACCACACACACACACACATTGCACCTTCGCGCCTTGACACTTGGTCCGCGTTGATCTCATCAGCCTCTTCGTCGTCAGCATCCTCCTCTTCGGCCTTTCGACCGCTCATTCCGAGTCGTGTCCTGCCCCTGCATTGCTCCGCGCCGCGATTCTGCTTCCGATCGTGCCCCTTTCTATACCGTCATTCTCTTGGATCACCACCTCGACATTGATCATCGCCACAGTTTGCATGCTGTCCTTCATTGCATAGCATTATCGTCGTCCGTCCTTTGGTAGTTTCTGCTTCAGCTCGTTCATCGTTTCGTTTGCTGCTCGCGCATACATTTCAGCATGTCGTCGCAATCGCACTCGTACCAGCCATCGCCGCCTGCCTCGCCAGGCTCTGGCATCCGGCACCAACCCACACCCGACGCTTCTGCCTCGTACCAATCAAACTCGATGCGATCGCCCGGCTACCCATCCCCACCCACCTCTCCTCCTCACATTGTCGCGGACTCTTCGGAAGCTCCCCAGCGCAAGCCGTACGCTTCGGGCGTGCCATCAGCCGCCTACCCAAGTATGGCCAGTGCCGGCGCCGCCATGCTTCCGCCCCCCACTTCCTTCCATCAACATCCGCCCAGCAAGCTCGCCACAGGCGGCCAGTCGCATTCACATCGTCCAGTATCGGCCATGCCCACCCCCACCGAACATGTCACCTCGGCGTCGCGCAATGCTGCTTCGGCTACCCCAGACGCTTCCAACGTCTTTGCCAGCATGAACGCCAATTACGCCGAAAGAAGGGCCAGCGCTCACCCCACCATGTCCAGCAGCCACCACGGTTCCTCCACGCCCGCCGCTGCCACCATCGACCCCACCACGAGCCAAGCCATCTCTTCCGGCATCCCCATTACCTCTCCAGCGGCTCTCTCCTACTTTGCCGCTCATCCTCGTCGCCAGCAGGTCCACTTTGGCAACTATCTTCTGCTGCAAACCCTTGGCGAGGGCGAATTCGGCAAAGTCAAGCTCGGCGTCCACAAGGAGTGGGGCGAGGAGGTCGCCGTCAAGCTCATCAAACGCGACAAGGTCGCCACCGACGCTGCTCCTCTCCACCTCGACGATCCGGCTCAAAAGGACCCCGCCAAGATGACCAAGGTCGAACGTGAGATTCAAGTCCTCAAAGACGTACGCCATCCCAACATTGTCCGTCTGTACGAAGTCATCGAATCCGACCGCTACATCGGTATCGTACTCGAATACGCATCGGGTGGTGAGCTCTTCGATCACATCCTCGCCCACAAGTATCTCAAAGAAGAACACGCCTGCCGTCTCTTTGCCCAGCTCATCTCGGGTGTATCCTATCTCCACCAGAAGAAGATCGTCCATCGAGATCTCAAGCTCGAGAATCTCTTGCTCGACCGCAATCGCAACGTCATCATCACCGACTTTGGCTTTGCCAACAACTTTGAGGACAAGCGCGACGACCTCATGGCTACCAGCTGCGGCTCTCCATGCTACGCTGCTCCCGAGCTCGTCGTTCAGGACGGCCTCTACGCTGGTTCGGCAGTGGACGTCTGGTCGTGTGGTGTCATCCTCTACGCCATGCTCGCAGGCTACCTTCCCTTCGATGACGATCCGGCGAACCCAGACGGAGACAACATCAACCTGCTCTACAAGTACATTCTCGCCACCCCTCTGTCCTTCCCCGAGTACATCACCGCTCAACCACGCGACCTGCTTTCCAAGATGCTCGTCCCTGACCCGACGCGCCGCGCCACGCTCGAACAAGTCATGCAGCACAGCTGGCTGCGCAACTACCGCGAGCTCTTCAAATTCTCCGTCGACGACCTCGAGCGAGCTGCCATGGAACAGCAGACCAAGAAGCGCCAGATGTACCGCCAGCAGATGATCTATCAACAGCACCTGCAGGAGCAACAGCGTCGTCAACACATGGAGCGCAGCCAGTCGGTTCGTCAGAACGTCTCGCACCTACCCATTGGCACCGCTTACACTGCCAACACAGCTGTGGCCGCTGGTAACGCTGCTCATCGACAGACTCTGCCTGTCAGTGCCACCGTCCCCGACCGCCTTTTCGAACCCGTCGGCAGTGCCAGCCGCGGTGCTGACCACGGCGTTGCAGCTTCGCGAGCCGCTGTTGCAGCCATGCAGCCTTCGGCCTCTACAGCATCTCCGGAGGCCCTAAGCGCACCCTTACCGCGAGCTACTACGCACAACAACGTCGCCAGCGTTGGTGTCGCATCCCATGTCGATCCCGTCACAGCGGCTGGCAACGCTCGCGGAGAGCCTCGTACTCGTCTGGAAGATCCTGTTGCCGCCAATGGCACCGAAATGCGACAGACGGCCGCCCAGAAGGTGCAGCGTCACACTATCCAGCTCGAGTACGGTGGCGAGGAGCGCTCTCGCAAGGAATCGGCCTCCACTGTCGTCGCCTCGCCCCCCGCCTCTCGTCAAGCTTCGCAGACGCAGCGCAATGTCAGTGCAAGCAGCACCAGCTCCCGAAGCTCCGAGAGCGAGCGCGCACGAGCTGCTGCCGAAAAGCTCGCCGCTGCTGCCGTACTGCCTTCTGTTCCTCAGCCTGCCGCGGTCAGTCTCGCAGCCACGTCTACCGTCATACCTCAAAGCGAACAGGCGATTGCCGGCAGGGCGGCCGCCCCCGACATGATGCGATCCGTCTCGGCGAGCTCAGCTTCTCGCGTATCCGTACCCCCCGTCATTATGGAGCAGGCTCAGTCCGCTGCTTCCGCTCAACGCAGCACGCCGCCGCCCGCTTCGAGCTCTCGAAGCCGCGTTCCCAGTTCCGCCAGCGTCCACAGCCGCCAGCACACGGACAACCGGGGCACCGGCCACGGCGCTCGTATTCCATCGAGCGCCAGCCAGCGCGTCGTCTCATCGCAGAGCGCCGATAGCGAACCTGTTGGATTCCCTTCGTCCTCCACTGAGCGGGCCCTGCCTTCAGTCGACAGCGCTGCCAGCCGCACGAGCGCCTCGCGACAAACGAACAAAGGCCCTGAGACGAGCACCGGCACGACCAGCCCTCCCTCTGCCACCCGACCAATTCCGAGTGAAAAGCCTTCTGCTCCAACTGCGGCTACGCGCCACCGCAAGGGCATGTCGACCGACAAATTCTTCCTTTCGCGTCTCTTGGGCTCCACTGGCGCCACTGCGGCCAACGTCACAAGTGCAGCCGGCGACAAGTCAGCCGTCAACGGCAGCAGCGAAGCTGTCAGCGACAGGAGCAAGAGGAACAGTGTTTCGCGACCAGCTCCGGAACGCGCGCCCAGCACTAGCAGTGCCACCAGGAGCAGTCGACGCAAGGCGATGAGTCTCGTTGTCGGTCGTGCGCCCAGCGACGCTTCGCCGGCTGTTGACGGTGGTCACGATGTCCACCAGGCCCGCATACCTCACTCGGTCACACAGGCCACTTTTGGCGAACAGCTTGCTGGCAGGAAGGATGACACTTCGGCTTCGTCTCAGCAACGCATCGCCGCCACGGAGAAGCAACGCAAAGGGACCGTCAGCCTGGCAGGTTCCGGCAAGCAGACGCCATCCTCTCGACCATCCACGAGCAGGACGCGTCCGCAGCCGTTGCAGCCTTCGAACCAGCAGCCGCAACAACAGAACGACAAGACGTTCTACGATGGATCGACGATCGCAAGCTCCTCGACGACCGGTCCCTCGAGTAACGCTGCGAAGAAGGTCATGGACTGGTTCCGCAAAAAGAGCCTGTCGCGTGGCACCTTCAATGAGCAGCCGCCGCTTGGACCGTTTGAACGATCGCCCACGTCATCTCAGATCCATGCTGCAGCCTCTACGACGCCTTCGGTCGTCGTGACGAGCGCTCCCAACGGCGCGAGCCGTCACGCGGAAGCGCAGACGGGCAGTGGCGAGGGGCACAGTGGTGCTTCGTCGGTGCCCTCCTCGCGATCCACCTCGGGGACGCACAGCGAGAACAGCGAAGCCACCGAACTGACGCAGCTCACCAACATGAGCGATGCCTCTCACACGGAGAGCGATGGTATCAAGTCGAGTGCCTCAACTGTTCAGCAGCAGGCGACGCCGAAAGCATCGCTCTCGGCAGTGTCGAACGTCTCGAACGCATCTTCGAGCGCTGAGCCTTCTGTCGCCAGTCCTGTGACCAGACGCTCGCAGCAACAGCAGCAGCAGCAGCAGCAGCAGCAGCAGTCGCAGCCGTCACGCCAGTCGCAGCGATCGAAGGCTGCTACCTCTGCATCGACCGCCACGGTGCCCTTCAACGAAGCGCGCCTGCGCTACCATCTTGGTGCAGTGGATCAATCCGCGCTCACGTCGAGGTCGCCCATCGAGGTGCTGCGGGAAGTGCAGCGCGTGCTGTACGAGATGGGCGTCGACGTGCGTGCCGAAAAGGACGAAGACTTCAAGCTCGAGTGCGTCCGCCGCAAGCGAGCCAAGACGCTGATGAGCGCCACGCAAGGGTTCGGCATGAGCCTGCGCAGCTCCGTCTTCCCGCCCACGCAGGCCGACGTCGAGCGGTCCTCGCGCATGAGCCACCGCGACTCGCTCACGCCCAGCGCCAGCACCGCCGGATCGCTGCGGAGCTTCCTCAAGCGGTCCTCGCTGCAACCGACCAGCCCGAAGCTGTCCACCTCGCCGCTGCCCGCGTCGTCGACCACGGCGAGCAACCTGCACGCGCTCGCGTCGCAGGACGAGAACCAGCCACCGCCGCTCTACGGAGACGCCTCCGTTGACGGTGGCCAGGAGATCCGCTTCTCGGTCGAAGTCACGAGGATCAAGAATCTGCCCGGGCTGTACAGCTTGGACATCCGCAGGATGAAGGGCAACCTGTGGGCGTACAAGTTCGTCTACCAGGCGCTGCTGGACCGCTGTCAGTTGGGAAGCAGCTCCGCATAAGTTTGAACAACACACGCAGCATTCCTTCGTACGCAGGTCGTATGGTTTCCCCCTTTTGTGCTCGAATACATCGACATACCCTGATACATGCAATTTTTATAGGTTTCTCGTTGGCATAGCTTGATCCCGTGACGTTTAGTGTGAGCTGTCGACTGCGCAAAGATTGGATCAACAAATGACACAACCCTTTTCAGGATCCTTCTTGCCCTCGGCACGTGCATCCTCCTGCAACCTCTTGAGCATATCCTTAACGCCCTGCAGATCGGTAGCTGCGATTCCCTCATCCCAATTGACGACCAGTGGACCGTCTTTGATCTTTGGCATACCACTTGCACCTGTTGGGTCGTCTTTCAAATGTTTCTTAAGCGCCAACTTTCTCCTTTCGTGTTCGTTGAGGTCGAAACCTGTTGTGGTGTATTTCTTTTCCTTTTGTTGGGTATCGCTAGTGTCTGCGACGAGGTAGTCGACGATGCTTCTCATCTGATCTGGCGTGGGAGGGTTTGATTTACGATCGACGACTTCGAGTTGGATGAGGGGGGAGCGGGGGGGATCGGAAGCTGCTTGACGCAGGTATGCGTTGACGTCTGCGCCTGAGCCGTGTGCTTCGACGATGCATGATTCACCGTGCGAACCAGGTGCGGACGAGCTGCTGGTGGCGGCGGGAGTGGGTTGGTGGGGGTTGCTGTTGTAAGAGGAAAGCAGTTGGAGGACTTGCTTCGAGGTTGATGACGTCGAGTCGTGGCTGCAATGACAGGGGTGATACGGTGAGATTGGTTGTCAGCAGGAGGCTTCCAGTCTGGTCGACGAGGCTGAAGACGACTTACAAGAGCGTAATGATGGATGGTCCTTTGTGGAATCTGATCGACATGCTGTTGTGGGTTCTGCTAGAATGACTGCCGATGGATGATGGATGATGGTGTTGCTAAGTGAGGATGTACCAAGCGCCGAAATGTGGAGGCTCAGTCCCCACAAAACTCGATTTTAGCCGCGCATTTAGCCGGATGCCCTGTCGTATGCATTGCCTTTGACAGAACTCGACTACTTTCTTCTCCTTCACCTTCATCACTTTCCCTCCATCCTGGAATATGGGCAAGGATAACGCTTCCAACGGGGCAGGAGCAACACCATATAAACATCGCAACAAGCACCGCCAGATCCCAGCCCGAACTTCGACCACTTCACAACCTACAGCTGCACCTCCTCTCCTCCGCCTACCCACAGACGTCTGGCTACACATCTTTTCACACATCCCCTCACCCGCTGCGACTACACTCTCAGCTCTGAGCAAGACATGCAAGCATCTCCTCCGGCTGATCGACGAATACGGATGGAACGATGTTCTCGCACACGAATACGGCCACGTTGACCTCGACCGCTTGGACCCGTACTATCGGCGGTATGCAAAGCAGAAAGGCTCAGGACGAAACACTGCAAGGTCCAAGTGGTGGTATTGTTGTAGGTATACTAGCTTGCTTGGAAGGTGCTGGGAAGGAGTAGTGCTTCGGCCTGGATCGATGGATATTCCTGCGGAAGGGAATAGGAGGACGGGGGGAAGAGGGTCAAGGTTTGGGGCTGATTTTGCGGTTCCGACAATGACGTTGGGGACGAGGTGGATGGTCGTCGGTGTGAGGTCGGAGATTGTGGTGTACCGAGCAAGCTCGATAGATGCGAAAGGGCGTGGCGGGATCGTGGCCAGCTTCAGATCGGATAGTCACTCGTCGACGGATCGTCTTGCAGAGGCTGCAATGGCGACACCGGATGCCAAGGCTTCAACGTCCGACGATCCATGGCAAGATATTACAGCTTTGGAAGCGCTCGACAGAGAGGCTAGCACGGTCGCTGTCGGGTATGCAAACGGCTGCATTCAGGTCATCGCGGTCAGACCTGAGGGGGAGAAGGGCAGCATCCAGATGCAATTGTTGCAGAATTTTCCATCGGCACGACAACAAGAGGTCGCAGGGATCTCGACACAAGCAAGCAGAATGCAACTCAACTCAGCCGTACAGACCCATGGGTATCCTCAGACCGATACACATCTCATAGCATCGATCACAAAACGGGGTTGCCTCCGGATACACCAGTTCGCATCTCGGGACCAGCAGGATTCTTTAACGCATCTGGACCACGGATGTTGCTGGGAAATCGACTCGGAAGGTGAAGCAACTCGATCAGATCCGAACGCTTCGACCCCTGCTGACACGTCCGGTGCCAACACGCCGCCGAGGACGAACTTTCGCAGCGCCGCGTTCAACAATGCGCCGCTGCTACCCGCTCAAGACGCTGTGACTGGGTCGGGAACTGCGACGCGTGCTTGGTCCGTCTTGCTTGGTAGCTGTGACACACAGGCTCACGGGTCGACGTTGACATGGGTCGCGGTGGGCATCACGGCCGAGCATGCGGTGTACATCTATCCCCTTTCTCAGGGCGACGGTGGGATCGGCTTGCGGGAGCCGTTCCGTGTGGCGTCGACGGGACAGCGTACTTCGGTGTATGCAATGGCCACTCCTCCACCAGAGTCTAGCTTGCCTGGCTTTCTGCTGTTCGTCGGATTTTACGATGGCGTGGTCAGGGTGTACGACACGCGTCAGCTGCGAGCCGATTCCGAAGGAGGTTCGTGGGACATGAACGATCTCAGAGAAGCATTGCCCATGAGTGACGCACCATCACGTCGTCGCAGGATCAACCGTCAGTTGGACCCAATAGCCATATGGAGGGAAGAGTACGATACCGACGCCATCTACAGTCTCAGCTTCGGCGGCCCGAAGTCGACGGTGATGGTGGTAGGTGGTGCGAGACACGCCAAAGTGAGGGTTTTCGACATCGGCGTGCTGGCGGGCTACGATGTGCCGCTGTTGGGTGAAACAGGCGGAAAGAGGTGGGACTGGACAGGGTTTGCGCTGAGAAGCACGGATAGTCCCGTGTATGGAGTAGCGGGGCAAGCGGATAGGGTGGTCGGTGTCACGGATAGGAAGATTTGGTGGTTAGATTTTGGAAGGCCGGTTTTGGAGGAGGATGGGGAAGGAGCAGGAGGGGGAGGGGAGGAGCAGCAGGTGGCGTACTTCAGACACAGTGATGGTGGGCTGTGTTACTCCAGCCCGATGTACCGGTAGACGGAACCCTGACAGCAAAGGGGAAGGAGGGATGGAGGAGGCAGCGTACTTCAGACATGGAGATGGAAGGGCTTGCTTATTTCAACCCTTTGTATCAGTAGATGGATCCCTCACAGCACAGCACACGCGGCCGATGATCCGATCCGGATCGAATCCACTTATGCTTCATGCATCCCCTAACTTAGATACTGTACTCGAACCCTTTGTGCCAGTAAATGCATCCCTCACAGCACACACAGCCGACTGCACGGATCCGGATCAGAATCAAACTGCATTCTCTAGAATTCCCCTCCATACATATACGCCTCATCTTCTAATTGTTCTTCTTCCCCGTCGGCGGATCGTCCCTGATGGTCAACCAGATTGCGCTGAAAACCAGGAACCCGACGCTCGTGCTAAGCGCGCCTGCGATGTACGGCCAGCTGGAGCTGAGGAAGCGCGGATACTCGTCGTGGTTGAACGGTCGCACAGGCGCCGTATCCTTGGCGTGCAGGAACGAGAGGCCGGGACGCTTGAAGTCGAGCACAAACGTGAATACGCCGTGACGATCGGGCACCTGGAAGGTGGTGGCGAAGCGCGTGAAGGCCTCGCTTTCCGAGGTGGACGAGGCGGGCGAGGAGGTGTGGGTGAAGTTCGAGGCGGAGAGCGGGGTGAGGTGTGCGGTGATGTAGGGGTCCAGCATCTGGAAGGAGACTTGGAGGTCGAGAGAGCTGTCCGCAGGAATGAAGCCAAGCTGAGGATGGTGTTGGACCAGGTCGACTGAGTAAAAAACGTGATCTTTGATGCGGTACATCTTGTTGCCCGCTTCAGTTTCTTCGTAGTCCTCGCGCGTATCGCTCGGTCCGGATTTCACGCGATGGTGGTGCGTAGCGACGACCTTGAGCACGGACTTCTCCTGGAACGCCCAGGCGCTCAGATCGGCAGCCACGAGCTTGTTGACGTACCCGGATTGCGTGTCGGAGAAGAACGCGTCCGAGAGCAGTTCGGTGGATCCAAGGAACACGGCTCGTGCGCTGTTGGATGCGAGCTGGAAGCCAGAGACGAGCGAGACGAGGGCGTTGGAGGAGGAAGAGGTGGCAAGGCCAGCGACGAGCTCCTTGCGTGACTCGAGCGGGTCGAGGCTGTTGCGGTTCTTGGCCACCCAGCCGTTCTTGCCGAGCTTGCTGGCAGATTTGTTCTTGACCACGGTGGGCACGGCACGCGGAGTCGAGAGGACTTGCGTGGTGTGGGTTTCGCCGTCGACGATCTTTGTCGTTGTGACGGTGACGGGTGGTGGTGTCGAGTACGAGGTGGATTCGACCACCGCATCTTGCTCCTTGACCAGGGCAGGTACTTCCGAAGAGTAGCTGGTGGCAGGTGGGAGGATAAGCGGGAAGGCAAGGGGGTTGGCGCCTACGCGATGGGCGATTCCGCGGTAGAGAAACGGCGTGTTCTTTGCCGCTCGAAGCGTCTCATCCGAAAAGACGTTGACATTCTGTACCAGTCCTCCTGTGCTAAGACCTTCCGCCGACTTTTCACCTCCGACGAGAACAGCGGTATGGTTACCGGCGTCGTGCTGGCCGCTGTACCGGAAGTGGTCGACCAAGGCACTCCCGCGCTCCTCGAACTCGAGCGAGAACTCGCGAGCCAAATCGCGCTGCATCTCGCTGGCGCTCGAGTCAAGGCCAACGATCATGTTTCCTCCGATCTTGAGATACTCGACGAGCTGCTGCGGCGAGATGTCGGCAGCCAAGGATTTGCTCGCAGGGGAGAGTAGGATGAGGTGGTCGTAGGAGAGCACATCGTGCTGGACGAGCTGCGGCTTGGCGTCGCGAGGCGCTTTGAAGTCGACTTTGTAGCCTCTTGATGTGAGGGATGCGAAGAAGTTCGAGTAGGTGTTGTGAGCGATCTGGTCGACGACGACGAGGATGCGGTCGCCGGTGGACGACGGCAAGGCAGAAGCTAGTGTGGAGAAAAGGGCGAGAGAGACGAGCAACAGGAGCGAAAGGAGAGATGTCAGAGGGCGCGAGCGGTGTCGCCGAGTGTTGAGCAGCATTTTGGGGGGATTCGCTGCCATCAATGACGAGGCTAGCGAAGGGTGATGAGAGGGGGATGAAAGGATTGAGTGAGAGGTGAAGGTTGCAAGTGAAGCGAAGAGGCAAAGTGTCTGTGCACGCGCTTCATTTCGGGCTCCAGCTCAGCTGCTTTCTTCCACTCGCACGAAATTTTCGCCGCGTTGACCAAATTTAACAACAACATTGATGCCAAAACTTCGAAAGCCACTAAAACTGAGCCTTTCTCTTTCTCTCCTTCACCCAACCATCATCTCAAACAGGCCATCCACGCCTCGAGAGCTTCCGTCAGCATCATGCCCACACTGGCGGAGCGTCTCGGCTCGGATTCGGGTCCATCATCCCATGACCGAGAGCAAGAATTGCGGTCTCGGTTGCTGGCTTCCAAGCAAAAGTTTCGCGATGCTCCCAGGGACGAGGTGGGCATCGATCAGGACAAAAGCGCTGACCGCGAGCTGTTCCTCGGCAATCGCTCCCGCTCCAATTCTCCGCATCATGACAGGCAACGCAGCCGAAGCCCCAGGCAGCGACGTGGCTCACCGTCGTACGAGAGCCAAGCTTCAACATCTGCGGCACCCATGCCGCCTCCGGGTCCACCTCCACCACGCCCGTACACTCATCCGGATCGACGTCCGCCCAGGCCGCAGGCCGACAGATGGGTACCACCGCCGCGTGAAGAATCAAACAATGACCGACCACCGCGTCCATACGATCGGCGTCGAGATGACGATCGCTGGCAGGCAGACGATCGTCGCGGAAATCGAGGCGACTCGGGCAGAGCGTGGGGTCCATCGCACTCCGGCGGCCGCGGTAGATACTTTGATGGCAACGATGGAAAGGGTACAAACGAAGAAGACGGCAGCGGCTCCTCCGAATACGGCGCTGCACAGTGGAAGCGTCTTCCCCGTGACCCGTACGCCTCGTCCATGTCATCCGGCGCCAATCCAGGCAGCGGTGACGGCGGCTTCTTCAGCTCGCGCAACGAGCAACGTAAGAACTCGACCGTCTCCATCTGGCCTCCAAGCCCACCTCATCCCACGCTAGATAGCGACGAAGAGCGCGAGAAGCGCAAACGACATCATCGCGAGAGCAGCAGTAGGCACAAGGACAAGGACAGGCATGACAGGAAACGCAGCAGCAGCGAAAAGCACCACTCGTCGTCTCGAAGCCATCGTTCGAGCTCCAGCAGACACCACAGCCATTCCAGCAGGCACAGAGATGACGACAGAGACTCCAGGCATCGTCACTCGCGGTCATCGAGACCTCACCGCCATCGTGACGACGATGAGCGTGACGACGTGTACGAAAAGAGGAGAAGCTCGAAACGATCACGATCGAAGCTGTCTGATGAAAGCGGGCCCGATGGCTCTGATTCCGAGAAGAGTTCCGATGCGGACGTGAAATCATCACGTCGCCATCACAGTCGTCACAAATCCAGCCGTTCCAGCACACGTGGTCGACGTGACTCTGAAACACGACACAGAAGCAGTCGTCATCGTTCAGCATCACAGTCCGACACCCGTTCCGAACAAGACAATAAATCCACATCCCGCCGCAACTCGACTGCATCCTCGGCAGGAGATTCAGACGCCGAAGTCGGGCCCGCTCTTCCCACCGTCACTGCCGATGGCAAGCCTGTCGATCCGCGTGCTTACGGTGGAGCGCTGCTTCCCGGTGAAGGCTCGGCTATGGCATCCTACGTTCAGGACGGCAAACGTATCCCACGACGTGGAGAGATTGGCCTCAGTTCCGATCAGATCGAAGCCTACGAGAAAGCCGGTTACGTCATGAGCGGAAGTCGACACCATCGTATGAACGCCGTTAGGATGCGAAAGGAGAACCAGGTCATCTCGGCGGAGGAAAAGAGGACCATGTTGAGGTTGCAGGCCGAAGAGAAGGCCAAGAAGGAGAGGGAGATTGTTTCGCAGTTCAAGGAGTTGGTTGATACACTGCAGCCTTCGAGCGCTAAATGATGCGGTTCAATGCACATATTTGCGGGTCGAACGATGAGTCGCATTTGAGATTAGATGCCGTGCCATATGAATGCCAAGTCGACGTGTTGATCTGAAGAAGCAGTGGTGAGGGTATGGATGGACGAGCAGGGGATCACTTGCAACTGCTCAAGTAGCTTGGCAGCGTCAGTGTCGGGTGTAGGCGATTGGGAGAGGAGCTGCTGGAGGATGTTCAACGCTGTTATATCGCTAGCCTTGTCGGTCGGTGTGAAGAGCTGTGTGGCGTACGAGCGAGCCACGCAAGCTTGAATGGAAGCTGAGAACGCATCTGGCGACTCATCGTCTTTGTTGGCTTGGGTCGATGGAGAGGAACGACGCAGCGTGAGGATGCCAAAAGTGCTTTTGGCGGAGAGGGAGGAGGTGATGGTGTGAATCAGCTTGAATGGTGCGCCATGAGGATCACAGATGACGGTGGAGAATTGTTGGATGGAATCGTCGGTGGCGTCGGACCCAGGTTCATGGTCGTCATCGTCGTCGTCATCTTCGTGGGGCGGTTTCTCCGTCATAGAAGTGGCAGGCTCGATCGGCGGAGGAACGCGACCAGTATGCGCTGTGATCTGCCATTCGATCGCAGCGCTACGAGGCAGCGAACCACGAGGTAGCACCACGAACAGCATCGGCGGCAACATTTCGCCTTCCGTGCACGTCTTACCTAACCACCGCTCTTCCTCCATCTCCCCACCCTCATCGTCATCATTCCCCTCGCACTGGCTCACCCAAGCCCTCCTCGCGACCTCCACCCTATCCTCCGCATCCACCCAACAAATTCCACCCTCGACCCACCCCTTCTCAACACTTCTCCCACCCATGTCGTTCATAGTCGCCTTGAATATCCTCCTTGCATGCTGAATGCTCAGCGCGGTCTGCAGATCCTCCTCCCGCGGCAAAATGAGGTCAGCGGGGACCAATCCGATCTGACCCGCGATCCAAACCTTCTCTGCTTGCACTAGACTCTGCGAGTAAGGGCCGATGTTTGCCGGTGCCCAAAAGGAACGTCCCTGAACGTGAAGTGCACGTCGATCGAATGGTGGGACGGAGTTGGTGTCGTCGAAGGCGACAGCGTTGATCACGAGATCGCAACCGGCGGGAAGTTGTGGTAGGGCGACACATGCGCGTGTGGGAGGTGAGACGCCAAACATGATTCGATAGATCGAGTTGATCTGGGCAAAAAGCGTTTGGGAGCGGAGAAAGAGGTTGATGTGCGTGATGTGCTGCATATCGAGTGCGGGATTTGAGGTGGAGAGCAGAGCGTGGATTTTGTGGAAGGCGTTCTTGACTTGGTCCTCGGGGGTGGTTGGGGGTGAAGAGGAGGCGAAGCCGGTGATGTTGGAGAGGACGAGGTAGCGACCTTTGCGACGAATTGACGCCGCTGGGAAGCTGACACTGGCTTGATCGAGTTGCAATTCCTTCACACGATTCGACAGTACTTCGCGATCGGACGGAACCGTGTCCGTCTGTATCGCTTTCAACGTCTTCCTGCCTACCGCGTCCAACAGCGGAGGCGTCGTTGCCTTGCTTTGTGCCTGCACATCCTTCTCGACTAGCTTTGCGTTCTTCAACTTCAAGTAACTGACACTTCCAAACCCTCCTCCATCTGAATGCACCACCGTCTCTGTCTCGCCCACATCTATCCGTCTCTTGAACAGCGGAGAGTCGATCGTCAGCGTCTCGTACTCTCCACCTTCGCCGCAGACGTGTGCGCCGTACATGGCCGACAATCTCTCGAGCTTGGTCTGCATCTGTCCAAGCGTCTTGCCCAAATCCCTCTCATCCAGCCCGATCCCTGCTACCTTGATGAGGATCGACACGAGTCCAGCTTGAAGCATCTCGGCGTACAGTTCGGACTGGGAGCGCTGCCACAGAAACGTAAGTGGAGTGAGGTTGATGTCTGGACGCAGAGCGACGTGTTCGACTCGCACTCGTTGGTAGTTGGACAAGATCGCCCCAACAGACACTGCTTCGACATCAGGGTGTTCCGACTTGACGTCCATGAGCAAGTGATAGAGGTCTTCCGTTTCGTCCTGCAATGACTCTACGGTTGCTGCGCTGGTGGAGGCGGAGGCGGAGGAGGAAGACGGCGCTGTGCGGGATCCGTACTCGGAGCGCTGGTTGATGGCGGTGCCCTTGATTACTCTGCGGTAGAGCGGAAGTTCCATAGCTTCGGCTACGAGATGAACTGCATCGTGCCCAACAGTCTGGTACATGTACGAGTCGAGTTCATCCTTGGACCCTGGAGGAGCAAGGGTGGCCAGTGCAATCAGCTCGTGTCCCTGCTGTACGCAGTGGATGAGATTGTAGCACGAGTCCTTGCCGCCGCTGAGCAGCCCTACCACCTTCATAGCTTGCGTCAGCGTGGTGTGTGGTTGCGCAACGAACGATCAATGGCTTGATAAAGCATGTCCGTGAAGAAAGGTGTGCAAAGTTGGACAGCGCTCGATACCAAGAGAAAGCAAATTCCGCTTACGTAATTCAACTTTTTCGGCAAATTCCGATGGCAATTCTCCACTTTCTTCTCAAATCAATTTTTGGTCTGGTTTCTTCTGGTTGATCATCATCACCTAGTTTGTACCACCATATCAATTCTGCTTCAGGAGCCAAGATAGAAGCATGCTGCGACGCTCTATAGCCTCAGTTGGCACCTCGGCCGCGGCTTTGTCCCGCTCGACCCTTGGCAATACCGCAAGTCGCATTCATCCCGGCTGTCAGCTCTGCCTGTCGACTCCGCAATCTTCTTCCTCGTCTACAGCCAGCCCATCGGTACGAAGCTTTGCAAGCTCAGCATTGACCTCAAGGGGCAGATACGATAGCGGATTCATCCAGCGCTCCGCTAAAGGCGAGCCAACACCCGGCCTCGTGCCTCGATGGGGCCAGAAGGGTTCGGTCACGACCAACGACCGCAATGCGAGAGGCAAAGGTGGCAAGAACCCGCGTTTTCAAAGGGGAAAGTTCCAAGGCAAAGGCACAAAGATCAAGAATGTAGACTTTTCCATTCCAGATCCACCGACCGCACAAGAGGTGGGGAGGAAGCTGGTCGAGCGCATTACTGCAATGACGAAAGATCCCGAATTGCCACTCCAGCTAGTTGCTTACGGCGTCAAGGACAGGCCAGCGCAGATGCTGCTGCAATCTTGTATTGAGGATGCTGGAGGTAGGCCATCAATATCTGCTAGAGGGTCGGGGAAGATGACCAGAGCGGAGAATGCAGCAACAGCTATCAGACTCTTTCAAATATGGTCCGAGTCGGCCAAAGATTCGATCCCGGACCTGGCCATTTTGCATGACTCCGGCAAGCCTGCACACCTAGATTCCTTTTCGTATCTCTCAGATGCACTCTCGTCGTACATGATCGAAGGCGAAGAGTGCCTCGGGCGCTTCTGTGTCTCGGCCTTCCTCGACTGGGTAGATCGCGGATTCACCAGCCTCGACGCCTCCTCCACTATGACCGCGGCAGAGAAAGCGGAGATCTCGCTCGTGCGCTCGCAGCTCTCCTTGCTACGATCCAACATGGACCTTCGCTTACCTGTTCATCGATACCCGCGCGCTCGGAGCTTGATCAGAAACATTCATCTCCACGTCGGCCCCACCAACTCGGGCAAGACCCACGGTGCACTCGTAGCACTCTCCAAGGCACGCACGGGCATCTTTGCAGGTCCACTCCGACTGCTCGCTCACGAAGTATGGGATCGATTCAACAGCGGAACTGTGTCTCCCAATGTGGCTGCCCGAGCGTGCAACCTGGTCACGGGCGAAGAGAAACGCACCGTCGACCCACTGGCAGGACTCACGAGTTGCACAGTCGAGATGGTCTCGACCATGCGCGCTGTCGAAGTCGGAGTCATTGACGAGATCCAGATGATCGGAGACGCGCAACGCGGATACGCATGGACCAACGCCGTGCTCGGTCTACCCGCCAAAGAGCTCCACCTCTGCGGAGAGGCTTCCGTCATCCCGCTCATCCAGAACATCGCCGACGCCTGCGGCGACCACCTCACCGTCCACCGCTACGATCGTCTCACACCCCTCAGCGTCGCCGACGAATCCATCCACGACGATCTCGGTCAGATCCAAAAGGGAGACTGCGTCGTCGCATTCTCGCGTTCGGGGATCTTTGCGCTCAAGCGAGATATCGAAAAGCAAACGGGTTTGCGATGCGCGGTGGCCTACGGTGCGCTGCCGCCGGAGACAAAGTCGGAGCAAGCCAAGCTGTTCAACGAGGGGAAACTCGACGTCATGGTTGCTAGCGATGCGATCGGGATGGGTCTCAACCTGCGCATCAAACGGGTCGTGTTTGACACGCTGAGCAAGTGGAACGGAAAGGAAGAAGTGATCCTCTCGGCAAGCCAGATCAAACAGATCGCAGGTCGCGCAGGTCGGTACGGCACGCAAGACAAGACCGCTTCAGGCAAAACCGATCTCGGAGGTCTCGTCACCACCCGGCACGAACATGAACTCGAGATCCTTCGTGCAGCTCTCGCATCCCCCTTGCTTCCCATCACACGAGCTGCCATCCAGCCATCCTCGGAAACTCTCAGCCAGCTATCCGCCATGCTGCCGAGCGTCGACGGGAGGTCCGGTCTACGAACGCTGTCTCAGCTGTATGCGGATGTAGCGCTGCTTTCGCGCATCGATTCCGAAAACTACTTTCTCTCGGATTTCAGCCAGCAACTCACCATCTCTCCGCTCATCGAAACCGCTTCTGCCGGCATGCTCACCGTTGCTGAACGAGAGACGTTTTCGAATGCGCCGGCAAACACGCGCGATGAACGGGTGGTGGCGTTCCTGTGCAATTCGGTGCGACAGTTCTCCCGCGGAGGCTTGGTGGATTTCGACACCTGTGCTGCCGACCTCGGCATGCTCGAGGTCGAGGAAGAGATTCTTGACCTATTCGACCAGGCTCTCGCAGCTAAATCACGTCTCGCATCCGACTCGAAAGACGATGCGGAGTTACCGCTATTCGCATACCTCAACATGAACTCCTCTTCCGCAAAGCGAGGTACCCGTGTAGAGATTGGTAGTTCAGCCCATCCGTTGATCAACATCACCACGCTGTTGATGTTGGAATCGTTGCACAGGTGCTACACACTATACCTGTGGTTGAGCTTCCGCTTTCCACTGGCGTTTTGGGACAGGGCGGGGATGGATGCGAGGAAGAAGAGGATGGAGGAGGCGATCGATTTCGTGCTCCAGGGGATCAGGTTTGGACGTGCGAAGCGGTTGCAGGCGTTGAGGAGGGGTGGGGAGAGGGCGAGATCGGGGTGAGATCGGTCACAATGTGGGAAAATGGGCGATGGGCGGGTTTTGATGGAGCTAGCGCAGCAGAGGCCGGAAAGATCCATTGCCCGCGTGGTAAGGGCAAACGGAGTTGTCTACACATGTCCTACTCGCAATCGCCGTGCACTGTAAGCATCGATCGCATGCAGTGCTTTTGCTGGCAAAAGACAACTTCCGCTCCCGCCAAGCATGACATGTCACTTTGTGCAATTTTCCCTCTTTCCAACTGCGAGCGCAAATTCCCAACCTACTTCCTTTCCCTGTCTTGGGGCAGCAATGCCAGAACATTTCTGACCGCGCTCAGAGGATGTGAACATTCGCTGCACTTTGCTAGACCGGCCATGTGGGTTGCACATCTTCAGACTAGTCGCACGAGGCTCCGTCGCGAAAGAAGGGGACCAAAGATCAACTGACTCAGCGTGGCTTTGCCAAGATAGGAGCTAAATTAGGCTACAAGCTGAGCGAGGGAAGAGAGAGAGGAACGCGGAGATCTCTCCCGCGTGGCTGGCGTGGCTGGAAAGCTCCGGGAGACACGAAGCGTGGGGGAGAGGAGAAAAATCATGCATCGTTTTCCGTGAGACCACATTCCAGTCTAGGTTTTCTTGGCAGCTCCAACAGAGCAAACGCTGAGCAGTGAATTGACCGGTCCGTTTGAGACCCTATCCTCTACCTCAGGTCGTGCTCTTCGTCGGCTTCGAGATGTGTGAACTTTATCACAGTCGTTCTAGTCAAGCTTCAAAGGGTCATCGTGCGGTCGAGCAGGCATTTTGATCGGGACGACGTGATAGCGGAGAAAAGATTGGATCTCCGATCTCTTCAAGAAAGCGGCAGCGGGAACGGCTTCCATTGTCAATTCAGCCGTCGGCGAAGGTAAACCCTGGTTGTCATGTTTTGACGACCGATCAGCCGGCAACGCACGAATGCAAGGGCGGCAAGGGGTTGAGGTGTAGACTCTGTTTGCATCAATCTGGAAGGGATGAAGCGAAAATTCACCGGTGTTACGCGAAACAGTCCCTCTCCCGGCCTCTCTAGTGTCAGCTGATCTTGATGAATCTGCTACGACACAGCCCCGACGGAAAGTTGCTTGTCACCTCGACGGAGCGATGAACAGCCCCTTGCTGTCTGCAAGTAGTGACAGCTGTCGATGATGCACCGCCGGAGCTGGACACGGAGACGGAGCTGTTTTGACGGAGAGACTCCATCATAGACGACACTGTGTGCGCGTGGATTGCTGGTGATGATGTGTGGGGGCCCACGGTGACTCGGTGCACGCCATCGCCATGCTATCCCAAAACTCTTGGCATTCCCAACCCTGACGTGAGTGTGTGGGTTCCGTTATCTCATCTCGATTTCGTATGTGTGTTGTTTTATCTTGTCGCCTTCTGATTGGCAGTTTACCAAATCGCGTGAAAAGAAAAGATGAATTTGAACAGATTTGGGGCAGCACAGCGCACTGTGTCCCGTAGCGCAAAAAACACGTCATCGCGTGCAGCGAAGCTCATGCTTGGCGTGCATACGCGTACAAATGCCCAGACCGCGCTAAAAAGAACCCGACACCTCGCCTATCGCCTTTCTTGACGTGTGTGAACATTAAACCTTTGTGTCCAAAATCTCCGTGTCCAAAGCCATACAGCCCTTCGACCACCGCAATCTCTTGGCATTCTCTTTCTCTCTCCGACTAGAAATCTTCCGCTCCCGGGTGAAAGAAGATCAACACTCTTCTCGCACACACACGTTCTATCTGGCATTTCTTGGCATTCTCATGCAAGCTTTCAATGCATCGTCCGAGATTGGAACGAGGAAATCATGGTGCATGCTGTTCTCATGGTTTTTGGTGCTTCATGCCTGCGTTTCGTTATCGCCGTTCGACGGGCTTGTGGTGGATGACGACGTCTGTGACGGCTTTCAGCAGGACAAGTGTTACCACCTTGTGTATCAGCTTTCACATAGTCGAGTAGGAACTTCTGGCGATACAGCGATAGCAATCTTTCTTTGCCGAACATCGTTAAACTCTGGACCGAGACGCAAGCCAAGTCGAAGCTTGATGTGTTCAGCCCTGTTCTTGTCGGCTTTCAGGCGAGGGCTGCATCGTGGTACGAATACGTACGGTGGTGGGTGGCTGTGTCTCTCTTTGCGCTTCGCGATGATGCGAGGCAGACCTGGCATGGGGTGCGTCTGAGACGGCTGCAGCATGTGGGCTTTATCATGCACGTGAAGGCAGGCTGTTATGCACTCCGCTCCGTCAAGCTGGCGGGCTCTGGCCCCTTTTCCTGCGGTTCGAAATCGGAACATCACACGGAGCGCCAAGAACTTGCGCAGATTTTGACGTGCCACTTTCATGCAGACCGATGTCCTCCTCTTGCCGCAGGCAATCGCCATACGGACACCGCTTTGCACTTGTTCAACACATCTCGCCATCGTGGGATGCATCCAAGCATTCCTCCCTTTGCTTCGCGTATCGTAGACGTTCGCTCCGACGAACCGAATCGAGCGAAGTTCTCCGCTGTGTGACGCCCGCGCTTTTGCTTGGCTAGCAGTGTCGCGATAATCACACCACATCTGAGCGCAGGCTTTGGAAGCCAGGTCATGTCGGGACTCTCGTTCTTCCTACTCCGCCGCAGCGGAAACAGATGCCGGTGCGGTGTTTGATATGGCCACGCTCTCTTACTCTGCTTGAGTGCCGCAGTTGAAGCCGTGCAGTTGGTGACTTCTAGAATGCCGCTGCGCTTCTTGAGACATGCATGGCTCTTGTCAAAGCAACGAGAGCGCACTCTTTGGCGTTCCGACCCGCAGGCTCAGCCAGTGCCCGGGCCTCTCTTGCCCTCCGCTGTCGCGTTTACAGGCTGTATGACGCCGCTGCAGCTGGCTATCTTCGAGTCAGAGTATATAGTGAGGCCGCTATCTTCACGCTCACGCACCTGATATCTATCACATACATCTACGCCATCCCTAGCAGCCTACCGTTGGCACCTCCTCACCACCATCCTTACAGCTATTCACGCCGCCAGCAGGCTCCCCCCACCCCCCTTCACAGTCGCCGTCATGAACACTCAGTCTCTCCCACAAACAGCACCTTCCACACAAGCTCCTCCAATACAATCAACCACCTCGTCTCGCTCCACATCAGGCACTATGACCAACACACCACAACAAGCTGTCTCACCAAGACGTGGCAGCGCCACCAGCAGCAACGCCTTATCAAACGAAACGTGCGAAGCATGCGTCAATGACAGACCGTACGTCGACCGCATCCGATCCGTCTCGCACGTGTTCTTAGCCCTCCGCCTCATGTTCACCGACCCACAAAGACGAAAAGACCTCTTCACGAATTGGGTCCACGTGCCGGTCGGTATCACTTCGCTGCTCTTCCTCACCTGGCTGATAAAGCAGGCTATGGATCGAGCGCCATTTAGATTCCCTAGTCCGGTGCTTGCTATGGTTTTCCTGTTTGCGCTGCTCCTTGCGCTCGACTACCTTTCCTCTACAAGAGTCGTCAAGGGATGGGCTGATCGAAGGCGGTCCTCGCCTGACACCAGCGAGGCGGAGAAGGAGGACGATGACGTGCCACAACGCAAGATACTGCTCCAACCTATGTTGACCTTACTAGAAGCCCCTTGTGACTTCTGTCTACGGTACATGTCGGTCATGTTCACGCCGAGTTTCATCTTGATCCCTGCGAGGGAGATCATCAACGGAAAAGAGATCGGATTGATCACAGGCTATTTCGCCGCGACTCAGCTTTTGGGTCTCATCTTCCCTGTGCTGCTTCACAAGGCGATCCGTTACGCAGTGGACTCCACAAAGCACAAGCTTCAGCAGAGGAAGGACAGGAAGGAGAACAAAATCAAACGAGCCGACGAACAACGACGGGCCAGTGTAGCCACCCTCGTGGCAGTCATGTCCAACATCACCCCTGCTCCGGCTGCACCAGGTCTCATCGCCAAGGCTGACACCGAAAGCACATTGGGCTCATCTTCTAGCTCCAAGCAAAAGAACACCGTTAGACTTCACGGAGGACAAAAGCTAGGAAGTATCGCCACCGGTCTTTCCGGGATGACTGCTATCGCCACCGCACCTTTGACGCTCAACACTGCCCGTGCGCTCACTCAAAAACCTGCTTCTGTTCAACGCAACGCCTCCCAGCGTCAAGACGCACGACGTCAGCTGGAACACGTTCAGCTTGAGACCGCTCGTCAGCAGGGTGATCCCTACGCCACCGCACACACTCCCCTCCGTGAACATCACCATCACTACCCGCTCAACCCTTCGGCGCCTAATTCGCCGAGGCCAGGTTCGGCACTCCAGCACAACCATCGACTGCACCATCACAATTCGGGGTACTTCGCACGCGGTCGACCTCAGGATGCATCGGAGAGGCCAGAGTTGGGACGAAGCAGATCGTTGGCTCGTTCGTGGATCGGAAAGTCAGCTGCTGGCAGCGCGAGAGGTAGAGATGCTGTTTCCATGTCTCCTTCGAGAGCACAACGTCCTCGTTCCGGCAACGACAGAGCGCCGTCCAAGGGGAGATTCGGTGCCGCTGTCGTGGGCACGGGTAGCGGTCTGAAGCATCTCGCTGCTTCGTCGAGGAGACCGCAGAGCGCTTCTGCAGCGGCGCAGCAACCTGGTCGATTCGAGAGGACTATGGAGGAGGACACGGTCTCGTCGACGTTCGACGAGTACATCTTCCAGGCCAGACAAGATCTGATCGAGAGACGTGCCAGTGCAGTTGCGGAGCACGAGGCGGAAACTTCGTTAGCAAAGCGAGTGCAGCTTGTGGAAGACAGCGAAGGCGTAGACCCCCGTGATCCGGGCAGGAGGTCGGTCGAGGCATCGGGAGACGAGATCGAGACGCTCGTCATGCCGACACTCGTTGCGCCTACGCCGAACCGACTCAGTCGTGACGAGAAGACCGGCGCTAGCGATGCTCCCTATTCGATTCCAATTTCAAAAGCTGGAGAGGTGATTCCGAGACCTAGCAAGGCAGGTAGCGACAACACTGTCAGTTACGACATCGAAGCACAGCGCACAGATGTTACCTCTGAAAAGAAGATCGACAGCACCTCGCAACAGGTCGTCACCACGTCGAGCGCTTCCGAGGAAGATGATGTCGCCACCGAGCCCGAGATGGACGCGATCGACCGCCTCATCGAGCGACTCTGGACCTCGATCCCCTGGTTCGTCTTCAGCGTCGTCCTCGTCGCGGGCATCCCGCTCTTCTACCTCATCGACATCTCGCTCCCTCTCTTCCTCGGCGTCAACCTCATCACGTTCCTCGCCTCCATCACCCTCGTACCCCCACCCATCCGTCGATACCTCCACCCTATCCTCACCACCTCCATCGCCACCGTTCTCATCCTCTGGGCGATCGGTGAGATCCGAGGGTGGTCTCTGCGTCGGACACTCAACTCGTACTCTGTCGATGCCAAGTACACCGTACTCTGGGCTCTGTCTGGCTACACTGGTCCTGTGATCGGCGCAGGCGATGTGCTTTTTTCCACGCTCGATGCGGGAATCGTCTCGCTCGCCATCCCCATGTATCGCTATCGATGGGATCTCTGGCTTCACCTCACGGACATGCTCATCGTGCTGCTCCCGTGCTCGATGCTCTCGCTCTTCGTCTGGCCGACCATCGCAGCGGTCATCGGTATCGCTCCCGAACGCGCCCTCGCCTTCGCCTCGCGCTTCATGTCCACCCCGCTCGCCATCGAACTCTCCCTCACCATCGGCGCGGACGAATCCATCACCGTCGTCCTCGTCGTCATCACGGGCATCCTCATCAGCATCTTCAAAGACCCCTTCTTCCGCCTCTTCCGCCTCCAACCCGACCAGGACGGCGATCACCCGGATCAGAAGGATTACCTCACCATCGGTATCGCCATGGGCAGCACGGCAGGCGCTATCGGCGCAAGCAGCCTCATCTCCCGACCTAGGTGCATGGCTATCGCGAGTCTGTCGTTCGTGCTCTTCGGTGCGATCCTGTTGATCGCGGCGGCAATTCCGCAGGTGGTGGATGTGGTGAGGATGTTGGCAAAGGCTCCGGCGGAGTTCACCCCTGCTATGTAGTGTCTTGCGTGGGCCTAACTTGTTTGCATTTTGTTTGTTTGTATTGCTGCAATGACCATTCGTATGGATTTCTGTCACCTTCAAAAAGTTTTGCGCAAGAGCAGACGTCTGTGTTGACATGACTCTTAGTAATCGCAGATCTTCCAAGTCTCCACGCATGGCTTGCACCAGTGACCAAGATTTTACAATCGCCGAATTCACTGAGATCCATGACGACGCTCGAAAGACTGACCCCACTGTTCCTTCCTCGCCGCATCCTCACTCTTTCTCTCACCGCATCACCGAGGTCAAACCACACCCACACGACCAACACAAATCTACGTGGTCTGATTAAACACAGCATTAGTATGACTTCCTTACCCCGCCCCCCTCCTATTCCTCCTTCTCCGGGATAGGCACGATCGTCCCCGTCACCATGAACGGCAGCCCATGCGTGCTCAACTTAGCCTCGAACGTCACCACCACCTCCTTCCTCACCACCATCTCGCCTCCGTCCTCACACTCCCCCTCCACCACCTCCCCCGTCCGCGGATCCAACCCAGGCCGATCGAACATCAACAAACTCCGATCCACCTCCAGCATCACCCTCGTGCTAGGCGGAACGTCCAACATCCCCTGCGCCTCCTGCGCATACTTGCCCCACATGTTCACACAGTCCTTCTCGGTGACCAGCTGGTAGTGGCAGATCTGTCCGCCTTGAAAGATAGACGGTGGTAGTTGGAACAGTTTGCATGCGTGCGAGTTTGCAGCGTAGATCTCGCCCGTCCGGCGGGCGACGATCATGGGGATCGGGATGGTCTCGAGCACGTTGGTGACGTAGAAATCGAGTAGACGGTAGAAGGAATCTTCGACACCGATGAGTTCCTCCTCCGGTAGACTGCGCGAGAGCGCCATGAGTTTGGGTCGGATGATCGAGAGACTCTGGTCGACCTTTTCGCAATTGGCACGCGAGAAACGCGTGTGCATCCATCGAGCCAGCTTGGCGTAGCCGTAGGTGTACGAGTAGGTGGGAGGTCCACCGCGCAATTCGGACGTTGTGGCCGCCTCCTCCTGCAGGAGATGCTTGGGGCGCGAGGGCAGCTTGAAGACTGCTTCGTCTGCGTGACGCTCTTCGCTGGAGGATGGAATCGAGTGCGAACGTTGAGACCTCTGCCTCTCGTCATCTTTCTCGTCGCTGGAGCGTCGATCAGGCGGACCGTACGGTTCGGCCGATGAGTGACGCAGAATCGACTTGACATCGAGGCCATTTGCCGTGGCTGGAGTCATGAGCAATGAGGTGGGCATCTCTGCGAACATGTCGCGGAGATCTTTACCTGCAGGGCCTGCTTCCAGCATTCGCTTCATCTTGTGCTGCGTCGAAGGATCCATGCTTCTATTCCAAGCTTGTTTCTGCTCTTCGGCGGTGAGGCCCGGCGATGACGAGCGTTGAACAGGTCGACGAACCAGCTCCTCTTGGGTAGGGCGTAACAGCGTCGAGATGGACAGGCTCGTTCGCACATCCGGATCTGGCGCAGCAGCACCAGGCATAGCGTTCATGTCGTGACGACGAGAGCCCACGACAGCATGGAGAGGTAGCGACGAGGCAGCCGAAGAAGCCAAACTCTCGAGATCAGATTCCGACTCGGTCTCGGCATTGTGATGGCTGCTGCGACGCGCTCCGTCCTGCTTCTGGCGTCTCGCGCGTGCCTGCTGGCGCGCCTCGCCAAATTTGCTCTTCGTTGACGGAGTCGAAGTGCTTGCGGCACCAGACGAATTGACTGGCTCTGCATCTCTGCACAGATGCGAGATCCCTCGTTTGACACAGCGTTTGCATGGGCGAGCCTCCTCGCAGGGCATGTGGCTACGCTTGCAGAAGATGCAAGCCTTCTTCACCTTCTTCCTGCTTTCCTTGGGTCTATGGGCGCTCTCGGCTTCAGGGTCAGCCTCGAGTTGATCGAGTTGGTCACGATCCTGGTCCTCCTCATCGCCCCCGAGGCCTGTGGTCTTTGAGGAGGGGTCCGGGCCTTCGTGCTCGAGCATGTACTTGAACTGCTTCTTGCGCTTTCGAGAAGTGGACGTGGAAGAGGCAGGAGTGGATCGAGTCGCTGTCAACGGGTAGGCTGCAGCGTTGGGAGAGGTGGAAGTCGACGGACGCGACAGGGAATGGCGGTACTCATCGGGCTGGTAGCGGCGGTCGTGAGCAGAGGCGGGATGTCTGTAGCTCGATCGTTCGACATTGTCAACAGAGAGTGACGCATGATTGCGGTACTCATTCGACGGCGAAAGTCGTTCGCGACGGCCTTCGGAGATACTAGGAGACGGCAGACCGGGGCGCATCAGGACCCTCGAAACGTCGTCGCCGCGAGCGTCTCCGAGAGGATGGTTGGGATGCTGAGAGTAAGCTTGGGAGGCCTGGGTATGTGACAGACCTGAGCTAGACCGGCGCGGATAGCCCTGCTCCTGATAGGAGTGGTGCCATTGCTCGTAATAATGACGTTGACGAACCTCGGGTGAAGCCCCGTAAGTGGAAGCGCGCGGTGGTAGAGGGGGAAAGTTAGGAGAGCGTTGTTCGCGGTACTGATTGCGGTCGCGAGGATCTGATTGCGTCGGTTGATAGGCTCCGTTGGCACGATCTTGATGAGAATGGGAAAGCGAAAGGGGCGCATTCTCGGACAAGCGTCGAGAGGCTGACGGAAGGGATCGATAGTCGTGCGGCTGAGATTGCAGCGGCAAAGGGGGATGATCACGCGACGAGGCCGGTGAAAGAAACGGCGACTTGGGACGGTATCGCTGCGAGTCGCCATAATCTAAGCCTCCGGGATGAAGCTGAGGCTCTACGTGACCGTGCGGCAGACCCGAGGCTTGCATTCGGGGCAATCGACGTTCGGAGGAGCCGGCGAGCGTCTCACTCATATCGAAGTGGCGCTGTCCCGCCCTCGGAGCCTCCTCGGCGTGAGAATCGTAAGCCGGCCGGTGCGGGTGCATGCTGTTGAATGCAACGGCCTGCTCGCCGAATGAAATGTGGTGCCTCAGAACGACCTGATGCGGACGAGCTTCGACAGATCGCGCCTGCCTTGCCAGCTCGGAAACGGTTTTGGTGGTGCCGTTTTGGATGCGTATGCTCTACGTGTCTAGTGAGAATGGCGGTCACGCGTACACGTGATCGACAAACGTCGGGGCCCTTCGCGAGCGACGTGCCACTTACCGTCGCGGATGCCCGCTCGTCCCGTGGCCAGGTCCAGCGAGAGGCTGAACTGAAGACGAGAAGAAGGAGAGCCGAAGAAGTGGCGTGCTTGTAGATCGCGTTTTGACCCGTGTTCCGCAGTGACGAAAGAGAATGTGATTGTTGCAGTGGACCTTGCTACCGGCGAAGATTGGCCTGGTGGTCAGTATCCAGATACCCTATAATCACGAGTGGCCAATCGATGTCGGCGCGTTGCAGCCGAAGGCGGGCAGACAAGAAGTCAGCGTCGGATCAAACCAAGGTTCCGAGCTCGATGAGCTGAGATCAGTTCAGCCGGTACCGAGTGGAAGCCGTGCCGGACTTATTAAGTCGAGCGCTGGCCGAGATGCGCTGATGCCTGTGCTGCGCCGACAACCAGCACAACTCTGCAGCGTCACGGAGAGAGAAGCTGCACGGTGAGCCGTCGGTGTGAAAGAGATATAGGAAGTGCTTGATGGCGATTGACAGTCAAGTGTATGATGTCGGTCAAACGCTATGCAATTGAAGCAGGAACGAGACGACTGGGTCAGCTGCGGGGTTGCTTTTGAAGGTTCGACGATGGTGGTAGCACAAGAGGGGACTTTGTCGGTCCCAATTCGAGCGGTGAGAATGTTGCTCGAGCGTCAAGAAGGAGAAGAAGATAGGACTGATGCGGATTGCACATGGAAGACAGAAGCGATGAGAGTTCTCCGACAATTTAAGAGCGCAAAGGCACGGATCGAGGAGAGGACAACACCTGGATGCGACAACTCCGGGTTTCGTCGCCTTCATTGTTTCATGCCATGGAGAACCGGGTGTTGATACAAGACGTCGAGCAGCACACCGAGAACGAGTCAACAGGCGGACTTCGGGCGTTGTCCGGGCGGCAGGAAACGCAGATAAAGCAGGAACCAGACATCGAGGGACAAACGCGGTCTGAGACAAGGCTGCATCCTCGGAACACCTCGACCCGGAAGGCAAGAGCAGCAGCCAAAGGGACAAGAGGGACAGAAGAGGGCCGGAGATGAAATGCAAGATGAAGCATCCGTGAAGTTGGTCGTTCCCGAGTCATTCCATCATGCGCCCTGGAGGGATAGGCGAGGGGGATGCTCGATGTGTGCCTCCTGCATAGGTCAAGCGAGATTGTTGCGCAGACAGCACGCGAGGACGAGGAATGCCGCGACTGGAGGCGCCGTTCCGAATTGAGTCGGCATCTACGAGCAGATATGTCACCCGCAATTGAGGCTCATGAACTGTGTACAGTTCCTGTTGTGTCTTTGCTGGACAGCGAGAGTTTGAGACCGGTATCCCCCCAAGGTCCTGTAACGGGCACGATTACAAGGCAACAGCCGCGGCATGAGCTGAACGCAGAGGCAGGTTCCGACTGTGAGCGAGGGCGAGGAGGAAGCACCGGATTTGCACGTCGGGGCTCATCATAGCTCAGGAAACGATCCCAGATCTGGGTTGGGCACCGACAGCTTGTCGCGAGCCACCGTCTGGCCACGACTTTATCGGCATCGGACGGGACCTCGCCCGCTAAGAACACCGAGCTTGCCAGTTGCCGAGGAGCGCGGTCGACGAACCGCAAACCGGAGGCGAGACATGTTACATTCAGGTGGCAGGCGGTAAGCCTTGGCGAGAGAGAAGTAGAGAGACGAGTCTGGGTCACAAGTTTCATGTGCCGAACAGCACAGGACGAAGGAAAGAAGCTGGTGAGCCTTGGATGGAAAATCAAAAGTGAAGAAACACGGCAGAAGGTCTGACGGGAACATCCGATCCACGGGCCTCGGCCGTCTGAACATGGGGAAGGCGAAACGGTACGGTTTCGAAATTATTATAAATGAGAGAGAAAAAAGAGGTGAGCTCGATCCGAGCTGAAGATCAAGGCAAGCTGAACCCGACGCAAGGGAACACAGCCTAAATTGGGTCGTCCACAACGTGACTGTCGTTGTACCAGACCAGAGGTTGCGCTCGCTTCTGTCCACCGCTCACATCTCTCGAGATCTGCATTTGCAATTCGAATTTGCATACTGCGTTCGGCCTTCGAGATGAACGAGCTATGGCGCAAATTACGGAGAGGCAGCGATTGGCCGAGGACATGTACAGATTGGTAAGGCAATACAGTATATGATCAAAGAGCCGGAACGACAGGAGCAGACACAATAATGTAGTTTTTATGTATTTATTTTTTTCCAAACAGTACATTTTTACCACCAAAACAAGGTCAAGAAGAAGCTAATTTAGATGTGGCTGGAACGGCACACATCCTTCATGCCCGGCTTTGCCGACGCTAATCCACCGGAATTGATCGGCGCTCTCGCAAAACAAAGAGCCCCTCCGAGCCGAGAAAGATTTGCAGGTCTCTGCTCGCAGTGCGTGACGGGTCACGGCGAGCCACCAACGATGCTGCGCTGAGCAGTCTCAGAACACCCTTTACTGCGTTCAGAAGTGGGGCTGTCGGTTGTGTTTCGCATTCGGTAGTGATACCTCATGCAAAGAACTCGGCACGTTCCTCTTCGGCAGCCCAGTCGACTTCGAGAACGTACCAGCACCAAGTGCGGGTGTAAGGCGTGGAAAGTCGGCGCTGCGGTTCTAGGCCCGATGAATGTGCTGCACCTCGGTCACTAGCGTAGATCTATGCCACCCCCACCTCCCACCTCCCACCATTTTCTTCTTCCCTTCCCTTTCTTTTTACCCGCTCTGCCTGTACCTGTCGCGTCGGTGCAGCGACGACAGCCCTTGTGGATCTCGTCCCTTGCTAGCTCGCACGACTCCGACCCCCATGAGACTTTCTGAGATAGATGGGCTCAGAGCCAGTTCCGACTGCTCCTTGCATGATTTTCAGGCTCAGTTCCGTCGGCATTTGCGTCTATGGGCTTTGGCCTTCTGACGAACATGATGCAATGGAGGATCAGCTCAAGAGTCTCCGATTCTCGACAAGCACAGACGCACATTTCGAGAATCGGAGTCGATCCTGCTTGACTTCGGTAATGCGCGCCAACCGCATGCGAGAAACAAAAAGAGGAGGCCAGACCAGGTCGACCGACTGTTGTACAGTAAATGCGAGCTAGCGGGTACTGTACGAGAAGGCTGCATCTCGCTTCAGCATGTGCACCGAGCTCGCACCGATGCATGCAAGGCGCACGAGGGACAACACCTGTGTTTGCGAGAAGCTCGGGTCGGATGGTTTGATCGTACAGCGAGAAATGTGCAGCACGGAAGAGAATGCAGGTCTGCCGAAACGTGACCATTGTTGACAGATCGTGCCGCGGCTATTGATACGGCACATAGCGATGCAGCTGCGGGTTAGCACGAGAAGCGTCATATTCAAAGAAACTTGGGTACCGATCAGCCTGGCAAGGTTGTCGGCTGGACGACATCCGAGGGCCACGCGAGCCTGCGCTCAAGAACGGGGCAGAATCCAACTCCCACTGATTCCAAATTCGAGAGGATGTCCGGTTCTGTACGAGCGAGCTGGTCAAGATCGCGCTCACTGCCACGCTGACGGTCTGAACATACATGGTCTTTGCGACGCTGTCACTCGTGTCCTCCTGCCGCAAGCAGCCTCGATATGAGCGTATCGTATAGGCATCCTGATCAGCTCGGGGCACCTCGGTTACTGATGTACCGGCCGTGCCCGTACCTGTATGTGGTTGTTAAGAGAAATCGTGACACATCGAACGTATAGGAGATGTGAGCACAGATGCGCGGATGCAGCCGATCAGAATTCCCGGAAACGACATGGACCGTCCGGCTCCGTCGCCGCCAGCGCCACCTTTCCATTCTTGGAATTCCCGCTGCAAGAGACGGAGATGAGAGCAACGAAGGATTCGGGTCGGCCGCATTTTTCCACGATTTAGGATGTGCGGTCCAAAACGTCGCAGGGAAACTCTGCACCTTTGATTTAACCATCCATAAGCGAGGCCCCCTTTCAAACGACTTTCCACACCCGTAATCGGTCGGGAACCGATGCATCTGGAGTGGCTGACTGCTTGTAGCAATCTGGCTGCACGTCGCCCTCGTGTTGAGCCATATGCACCGCGCACAATCAAGATCGCTCGGAGATGACCGCGCTTTGTGCTGCTCCAGGAGCTGCACCTCATGCCAGCTCACCGGGCGAGGAGAGTTCCGATCAGTGAGTCGGATCGCGTTCAACCCACGCCGTCAATAGTCAATGGGCCCCAGCACCCGCGCCTCGATGTTGCGGCACACCGCACCGACATCCACGCTGTTCGACAAGATAAGACAAGGAAAGACTCTGGCCTTCCTCTCCGCTTCACACCCACTTCAAGCAGCGGACGGCAGACACGCTTGCTCGTCAAAGTTCTGCACGAGCGGCTGCAAGGCTCAATGGGAGCAAACGAGGAGGGGCCCAGATGCACGCACGGTAATGCGTGCGGCAACGCGAAGGACGACGAAGGCGGGGACGCAGCCCTCGCAACTGGCATGCATGAAACTTCGGCTGTGGCATCGAACAGCCAGAGCTAGCCTTTGTAGCATGTCCAGGTTCTGGGAGCCTCGAGCCGAGAAGCATGGATAGAGCGCAAATGGGTCCGAAAAGGTCAGCCGCCGAAACTCAGCTAGCGTTCCAGCTCGTGATCAAATCGTGGCTAGTCGGAGAGTCAAATTTCGGCATCACACATCTCGCGTTTCATGCTGCGAATTTGTGAGGCTCCCGTCCCCCGAACCGAAGTTTCCCTTGCTTCCTTGCTTCCTCCGCTTGCCGAAAGCATTACTTATTAATAAAGCGCCGCCCGAATACGTACGCTAGCACAATGATAACGTGAGTCAGTTGCATCACAATTGAAGTCGTCCGGGAATGTCGTGTCTCCTCGACTCGGTCATGTGCCTCGAATCCGGACGTCCGAGCCGTTCTCGGGCCGATTTTGCCAAGGCTGCTCACACTGCTGTTTGCTCATTGTACCAGAGGCGTGACTGGGATTCAAAGTCCGTCCGTCGGTTCTTCGGAGGTTCCATCTCGTCGGTCAACTTATTTGCCGATTCTATGCAGCTGCGATCCGTCGGGGGGGCCACGGAGCGATTTTTGCACCTTTCCGTCGCGAGAAACCCGTTTCCGAGACAATGGCATTGTATCGCTCGAATTGTCGGAGCGTCCGCTGGTGGAAGTCGAAGGTGTTTGACCGCTGTCCCTCTCAGGCGATTGTTTCTTACAACTTCGTCGCTGGTTTGGCTAGCTCCGTTGCCATTTTGGTCCTTGAACAATTGGAGTTGGAGACAAAGGGATTCCGTGGTGGGTCGCGCCGATCGAGCGTATTGTTCTCCTTTCTGGCTCCCATTGTCTGTCGGAAGTGCCTTATGTCAGCAGAGAATTCACTATAGCAGGTGCAAGAAAGATGGCTCGGCGAGTCGGACATTGTGTTGGCCGACGTGTTCGATTGCAGGTCCTGGATGGGAGACGACTCGCCGGTGCTTCAGCACTCGCCGGTGGGACAGGATGGTCATCGTCGCAATGCGTCGTAACCGGGTTCTCGGGACGATGCGATCTGGCTTACGATGGTCGGGAACGGAAGCAATCAACATTCGAGACATCGGCCGTGAGCTGCTCGAGACGATCTGAGTGTGACTTCGTCATGAGGCTCTGACGATCGGTCAGCAAGGCTAGAAACGAATCGATCGCGGGAAGGGGCCGAATCTGGCTACTAGCCAGCACAGCATCCATCAGCGCAGGGAACTGTTCGTCACCTTTCCCTCCACTGCCACTTTTGTAGGGCCATTTCCCACAAGAGCACACCCTCTCGAGCGAAGTCGGAGTGAGTGAGCGAGTCTGCATCTCCGACAATGATATTCCGACCTCGGTCTAGCTTCGGATGGAAGCCATGACAGGTCTTACCCGACCAGGTCCAGATTCCTGGGATCGTTTCTGATCGATGTTCGCCGATGCCGATCGCGCTGCTTCGAATGATGGAAAGCCGAATAGTGTACTATGCAGACTGCCAAGGCGACAAGAAGAAGAGCTTTGGCGGCTGCTGCAGCTAACGAGAAAGTATCATCTGGGCAGTCGGCGACCATTCGACCGATGCGGCCCTGACTCTTGGGTCCTAGATGCTGTAGGAGCGCGCGTAGCGCGCGTCATCGAGCGGTACATCCATGTAGATGTCGAGGGAAAGTCTTTGTACAGAGAAAGTGAAGCTATCGCTCCCGCCGCGCCAGAACGATGCAATAGTGCCGAAGAAGCATGTCAATCTCTTCAACCTCGTCCAATCCTTCGAGCCTTGACAGTCTGTCAGGATGTACACGGTAGACAAGCGTAGAACGTGTCAGCACGCATCAACGAATCCGAGTTTTGACGGCGAAACAGCACTCACCTGGACCTTTGATCCGCTTCCAAAGCCGACCAGATCGAAAAGAGGCTCCTGCCCGACACCTTCACTTGCAAAGCCTGTGCACGTCCTCGGGACGTTGATGAGGCAGACCAAGCCTGAGCGAAGCGTTGACTCTGAGCACTGATGGTTGGATAGGCTCTGGCTCCTGGCAAGGAGAGATTGCGCATCTATCGCATTACGGAGGCCCCGAGTCAAAAGTAGAAGAAACACGTCAGCTACTTCTTGTGCCTAGAAGAGCCATTATCGAGCTCGACTTACCTCGAGATTCTGCACCATCACTTTGCCAAAGCGTGATGGCGGTGCAGGAGATTGTGATGCAGTCTTGGCAGATGTGAAGATATCGGCTTTTCCGGCTGTGTCGATATCGTCGGCCCGACCGAGGCCGCTTCTTGTGGGTGCTGAATCAGATGCATCCCCTGCGAGAGCGATGTCGTAGCTCAGCGCTTGGATGTCTGTGAATCGTTGACCGAGAGTCTTGATCAGCCAGTCGGCTTTGTCGGGTGCGATGTAGGCCAGAACGCACTCGAAGAGGATGAGTGTCGGCAGTGTTTGATCCAATCCCGTACTTGCCGAGCCTAGAAGCTGTTCGAGGTCGATACGCTCAGACGGAGGAATGTCGGCATAGAGATTTCGCACGTCCGCAGCGAGAAGGGAGTATTTGGACGAGCGAATCACGTCGAAGCGCTTAGAATCTGTTCGGCTCTCCACATGCGGCTGAGGGAGTTCGGTGAGCGGTACGCCCTGAACGTTCGTATCTGCGTCCAGAGAAGCTCGCAGTACGGAGCTTCTCAGGATACGTGAGAGCTTCTGATTGGCGTTCTCGGCAAAGTCGATCTCGACATAGTGATGCAAGCGTTCGGACAGGTTGACATTCGCCATGATGCGCCAGTAGCGGCTGTCGCTGCCTGCGCCAATCGAGATGATCTGCTTCTTTCCATCACCATGTTGCAGGAATGACTCTACTTCGGCGTCGATGGTGGAGCATCTCAGATAGGTGCCGATGTTGATGAGCGGAGATCTTCGTGTCGAAGCACCGGGCTGATGTAACTGCGGGAAGCTGGAGCGAGCCGTCGGGTGTCCGCTACTGGACGGTGACGAGGCGGAGAACTCCTGTGTGAAGGGTTCGGAGGGCAGGTAGCCCATCTTGAGAGCCGAGAGACGCGAAAGGAGGGCATCGGAGTCGGTGTTGCGAACAGCGTCATCTGCTTGCTTCAATGGTCCAGCGACGACAGCCGAGTCGTCGGCTTGACCTACATTGGCTTTGGCCCGGCCGCGCGGCACACCAAGCGAAAGACCAAGTGATGGAGCGGAAACATCGCAGCTTGGGCTTGCCATTGCTCGATCCCTAGCTGTGGCTTCCGCTGCTACAAGCCGAGGTGCACCTAGCGATGGCGCTGGTCGCGATGGCTGCGTGTGGAATGACTCATCGACATTGCGCAACGGAGCTTGACCGGGTCTTGAAGAGCGTTGCGGCGGACGGCCGGCTGCTTGCAGGGTCGAATCAACCTCGGTCGCGAAAGGATCTCGCAAAGGCATGTCTTGCTTCATTGTTGTATGGCGGCACCGTGTTCGCAGCCGGATCTGCGATGGTGTGGCCTGCAAGAAAGATGCTAGAGAACAACACGAAGTTGAGTTTTGGCGTGTGTCTGTGCGGAAGGAGTGGAGGAAGACTCATCTGCAATTTCAGGGTCCAACTCCAGATCTGCTTCCCGATCTGGGCGCGGTTCGGAGATTCGGCTCGATGCCCTCCCAACTGCCGTCATCAAAGGAGACCTGTCTGTGTGTTTCTGCGGCAAAGCGGCGCGGAAAGACAGCTATCATCACAGCACTAAAAAGTTGTTATGCTCACGATAATGTACATCGACGTGGCTCATGTTAAGGGAGGTGCGAGCTTCATTGCTATGGGCCCGCAGTGTCGGAACAGCCGAGCGAACCCACCCAGAAGCATCAGATAGCGCATTCGGGAACGTTCTCGGGCGTCGAACCATGTGGCTGGTCGGAGACGAAAATCAGACCTGCCACGGCCCGAAGAAAAGAGCTGTCAAGGAAGGAAGGAACCGAGCTGGGCCTTTGCCACGAATCCGGGCTTGGGTCGATGCGATGACCAAAGATGCAGAAGTTCCGGCAATGTATCTTTCTTGCTGCTTTCCAACGGAAAGGGAAAACGGAAACGAAAAGGTATCGATCGGGCAGCGGATGTAAGAGCAGTGACCGATGGCGGTGACTTACCTGCGGAGTTTAGTCACTCCAATGGCGTCGACTAATAGGACATCGGGCGACCGATGGCGCCATCGCGGCTTTTTCGACCGGTGCGTGGCAACAGGGTGACGGCATTATTACGTTTTTACCCCGCTCATCCCCTTCGATTCTTGCATAGCTTATTGATAGCCGACCAAGACGGTAGCTTGCGCTTAAGTGCGAAAACCCGGCTCGTAACTTTGTTTGCCGATGCCGTGATTCGCTGTGCTGCTTATAAGCGTTCAAAACGTTCAATCGCCGTGGAGAAGCTACTTGATTGACGAGCAGCAAGGCGTGCGCGCAACGCTTTGCTCGTGGCTCAGCATTGGCCTTACGAAAGGATATAAAGAGTTCATATCCTCTTCGCTCACTCTCAACCCCGCTTCCTCCATCAACGCGCATCTCCTCTGCACCAGTAAAGCGAGCTTGCACAATGTCGTCAACAACAACTACCACGCAGGTCGAGACCTCGGACCCTATCACCTTGCAGATCCCCGGCACACGCAAGGTGGCCGCCAAGATCAACTACATGTCCCGCACGGTGGAGAAGCCGTTCACCGCGCTGTACCAGACTCCAGATGGCAAGCAGAACAATCACGTCTACGATTCACCGACGGTGGACATCACCGATCTTCGCGGTACCACGCCCGCCGACCGAGAACGTGCTGGCTTCAACGTGCGTCAGGCTGGCTTTGAGATCATCGAAGGCTTCGGCTCTCCCGAAACAGAGCAGGGATGGAAGGAGCACAAGTGGGAAGACGCGCAGTGGATCGAATCGGAGTACTATGCCGACATCGACCGCATCTTCAAGGATAAGCTCGGCGTCACTTCGACCTTCATCTTTGATCACACGGTGAGGAAGCGCCGATCGCAGGAAGAGGAGGAGCTGCCCGAAACGGCTGATACGCGCAAGCCGGTCCCTATGGCCCATTCGGATCAGAGCCGATGGGCGGGGGAGAACCGAGTGCTCAAGCACCTTGGCCAGGAGACACTCGACAAGGTCAAACGCGGTGAACTGCACGCTCAACTGATCAACCTCTGGCGACCGCTCCGCGGACACGCGTGGGATACGCCGTTGGCCGTGGCGGACAGCCGTACCGTATCGAGAGGCGAGAACGGCAAGCCTAAGGACTGGATCGAATCCGAGCTCAGGTATCCGACCTGGACGGGTCAGACGCTGGCCATCTACTCGAACCCGGAGCATCGCTGGTACTACAAGAGCGGACTCGGCATCGACGAGGCTATCCTGCTCAAGTGCTACGACTCTGCCAGCGAGACCAGAACTCCGCACACCGCTTTCGACGATCCGACCACGCCCAAGGACGCCGAGCCTCGCTGGTCGATCGAGGTCCGCGTTCTCGCCATCACGGATCCAGCTGCTCAGAAGCAGTAGAAGTGCGCCATCACGCTGATCCCGTCCTTGTTCGTCGCCAGTTCCGCAGTTTCTGCCTCGCATTTGTCTGATCTCTGTGTTTTCTATTTGCATCGTTATATGTTTAATGTATTCTCGTCGATCTGTTCCACTGAGTCTGTGTTCCTTGCGTCGTGATTGATGCCGGGTCGCTGCTTGAAATGTCATTGCAACGTGGAAGCGTCAAAACGCGAAATGTCGGTGCGAAAAAAATGGCCGTTGCAGGCCAGTACAGGATCGACCTCCACATGGCTGAGTGTGTGGCTTGGAAGCGATCTGGTGTCATGACGCGGATCTGCCGCTTCAAAATCTCGCACGTCCTCAATCGCAAACATTCCGCATCCGCATCCGCATCCAACCTTGAGCGAGCGTGGTTGCGAAGCTCTACGTTGCCTCCTCACCACCACCAAACCCTCTAAACCTAAATCATGAGCACTCTCACCGCAACCCAACAACGGCGGCGATCCAAGCTGCCTCTGGGTCTCCAACTGCATCATCTCGCTTTTGCTCTGTATCTCACCTCGATCGTCATCCTCGGCACCGCCTACAGCGTCGTCTACGGTACGCACCTTCAGAATGTACGCATCTCTTCCGGTCTCTCCGCCAGCTCGGACTCGCAGTTCCCGGCGACGCTTCCCGGTGCAGCGGTAGCACCTGCTCCCATTCAAAACGGAGTAGAGGGAAGCACGAACCTCGGACCCATCCCTCCGAGCATCTTGCTTCCTCCTCATCATGCGCTGAACTACTGGGCGAATCGTAAAAACATTGTCAACCAGATCTTTGTCAAGAAGGCTTGGCTGTGGACGACGATCGCCTGGCTCTTGCAGTTGTTCCTGCTCAGGTTGGCACCTGCTTCTGGGTCAGCGACGCCGACGAGTACAGTGGGAGCCGCACCTTCTCGAGCATCTGCACGCGTCGGCGCTCGTGTCGACCACAAGAAGCAAGACGATGCCTCTTCTGCTACTGAAGCAGCTGCAGCTCAAGCCACCATCACGAGCCCCGTGTCGATCCCTGTGCTGCGGTACATGATCGCTACCTCCGCCTGGTTGCTATTTGCTAACTGGTTCTTCGGTCCACCTCTCTCGGAACGCATCCTCACCGCAACAGGCGCCGTGTGCGTTCCCAGCAGCAACCCGGGCCAATCGCCCGTCGAGGACCTCTACTGTCGAACACGCACTCCGCTCTCCAGCTCCTCCCATCCAGCTCTGTTCTCTTCCAACTCGGCTGCTACGCTGAAAACGTCCAAGAGCATCCGTGCCATGTGGAAGGGAGGTCACGACATTTCAGGGCATACGTTCATCATGGTCCTCTCGTCGCTTTTGCTGTTGGAAGATGTCGCTCCGTATCTGGCGGCGCTCCTTGGAAGGTCGGCGATTGGGAGGATCTTGTTCCCGAACAAGGTGACGGTGGATGTTGCGAGGACGAGGTGGGATGCCAAGGCGTATGCAGCGGTCGGCGCGAGCGTGGCGTTGGTAGGGCTGTGGAGCTGGATGCTTTTGAACACGGCGATCTACTTCCACACACCACAGGAAAAGATCTCGGGATTGTTGGTTGGGTTGTTGGCGTGGCTGGCGCTGCCCAAAGGCAACTAGAGCCAGTTGAACGCCATCGAATTCTCTTCTTGAACCGGAAATATAAACATGGAATCGCACCTAAGCCTCCTCACCACGCACGAACAGACAATCTCGCACAGACTTTCACGGACGCACTTTTATCAGGAAAGCCAGAACTCCACAGCTACAAGCCTGTTCAATTCCAGCTAATCTGCCTCCACAAACTCGACAATCTAATGCCGCTCGCCACCAACCCAGTCCAACCTTCAACGCCGTCCTTGTCGACGTGAGGGTAGGCAGCTTCGTAGCTGAGGAAGATGGCTTCGGACCAGTTTGCGATTTTCTCCCAGAACTTGAGTTGGATCCGACGTCTAGTCTTGCGAAGGTCGGATTCGGCTCGAAGCAGCGAACGTTCGGTTGATTTGAGGAGTGAGGAGATGTCGAGCGGTTTCGCTGACGAGTGTTGATGGTGATGACGGCGGTGGGAGCGTCGATGTGGGAGGTGTTCGGAGTAGAGACGGGAAGCGGAGGGATGCGGGTGTGTGTCGTCGACGTCGGGTACGACGGTCCAGTCATCGGAAAGGTTAGAATCTGATCGCGATAGGCTCGAAGACGAGGAAACTTCTTCCTGGTCATCGAGATCGCGTGCTACAGCCTGCATGTCTGCACCCAGCAACTCGAGCGGCTGATCTCCGCTTCTCGTTCTGGACCGGGATCCGACGGAAGGATCTCGTTTGCGATGCGACATCGCCTGATCACGATCGATGGTGATCCCCGCCACATCTGTTGACCATCCGAGCTTGTCGTTGGCGCGAATAATCCTTCGGTGCGCCGATCGGAGTTCTGACCTGAGCGCTTTGCGTTCCATCCTCAGAACCAGTAGGCTGAGCAGCACCGAACAGAGAGACAGCACGATTCCCAACCGTTCAATGCCTTGTCTTCGTCGCCGTGACAGGAACGGTAAGCCGAGACGTTGGATTCCCACGGCTCGCCAGAACATTCCACCTCCCGCCAAGACTGCTGCAGTCTCGCAAGCTTCGCCGATGGTCGCTAGCGACTCCGCTGCTGCTTCCAGATGTGATAGTCGCCACAGGCTCGCCCACACTCGAGCCAATGCACTACTCGCCCTACTCGCGGGAGCCTGGGTCGCCTTTCCGACCGCTCCCGAGTCGTGCTTTTCCTCGTCAGCATTTTCAGCAACATCAGCACCCACCGCACCCGTAGCATCTCCTCTCCCCGTCATCTTACCCAGTTTTGCCGCCGGTGCCCTCGCGAAACTCTGCTCTCCTCCCTCCTTCCCACCATCCCTATTCGCATCCAAAGGTGAGATGCTGGGAGGCTGCAGCCAACTCAATCCCGCTTCCACGTGATCCGACTCCGTGTCGATCGGTTCATCGCCCGTCAGCTTGATCTCCAACTGCTCTCTTTCCGCTAATTCAGCTGCGCGCTTCAGCTGTCGTTTGTGATCCTGTCTGTGCTGCCAATGCTCCATGACGGATTCTGTGGCGGAGGTGACCCAGCGAGCGATGAGGATGACGCGACGGAAGTTGTCGATCCCCTCCGCGGTGGTGTAGATGCGCTGCATGAGGGCTACGCGGACCGGCTTGGGAAAGGACATGGCTAGTACGGTGCCAGCTGGTCGGAGCAGCGCACCGCGATAAGTCTGCGGTACAGGATGATCGAGAGATGAGTAGAACAGGAGGACGAGAGAGTGGGTGAGATGTAGGACTTGTTCTCGACCCTCCCATGTTTTGAGCAGACGCACGAGGATGCTGCGCCTCTTGCGGTGAAGTTTGACTGCGGACGGAGGGAGTGCGAGAGAGGGCCATGAGGAGGACAGGCTCACGGAAAAGGACGAATTGTGGTGAGAATGCGCTTCGCGCGGGGAAGAGGAGCCGTGTTGTGATGTGGATCGCGAATGAGGTGTTGAGTCGAAGTAGGCGTTGATGCTGGTGGAATGGGAGTGGCTGACGGTGATGACATCGCCTTCGCGGAGAGTGAGCGTCTGATCGTCGTTCGTCCCATCGGTTGCATGATCTTGGTCATCGTCTTCGCCGTGATGTGCGTACATGGTGCGTTCGTGTGCATCGCGGAGGTCAAAGTCATAGCTTGGGACGAAGTCAGAGTCGGTGCTCACTCGAGCAGTATCTTTGTCAGTCTCGGATAGCAGGTTGTCATCATCGTCCTCGGACGACGACTCGTGGTCTGAAAGCGTACTCGGAACGAATGTAGTCACTGAGCTGAGACTTGTCATGTTGGCCTGACTGGTGTTGCCGCTGCTGCTGTCTCCGCCTTTGATCGAGTCTACCGAAGGACTGCTTGCTGGGCTGGAACCCTTTCTCGGCGTCGACGATTGCATGGATTCGAAGTTGATACGAGGCAGCGCAGTGAGCGGCTCGGAGTCTAGTTGGGAGACGCGACTGGAAGAGGCAGTCATGTAACCGGCACTGCTGGCATCGTCGTAATCGCTGCGCACCGAGAGAGACGAGTGGGACGGAGGCAGTTGGAGTGTATTGTTATCGCCGCCGGGCCCGAGTTGACGTGTCGAGGACGCTCGACCAGCGACGTCGTCGTCTCTTCCAGCTTTGCTGTCCATCGTTTCTTTCCACGAGAAGAAGTGCGTAGGGGAAGGTGATGGTGAAGAGACAAGGCTTGACGAGGAGTGGGTGGTGCAGTCCTAGACGAGGCTCGTGCATGAACCGGTCGGAGCGTGTCCGATTGCTTGCCGAGATCAACAGTCGAAAATTAGCCGCGCGTGACGCGTGAAAGCGGCAAAGTGTTAACTCGTGCTAATCAGACATGCTCGCCGGAAAAACGATTCGGCATGTGTGACTGACCACCCTTCATCATGGAATGTCTCTGGTGAGAGGGATACTCGCATACGAGAGATGTGCGATTCGTACATGACAAGAGCGTGGGAGATTATAGTACAAGAGCGTCAATAGCGCTCGAATGGAAGTCGGGACAGGGGATGGACGTTGTGGCTAAGGAACAGTATCAGGCCTGCTTCGACCCGCTTCCGCCGGCGCGTTTTGCAATCTCGTCCTTGACCAACTGCTCGATGCGGATCTTCTCCTTGTCCTCTGCCGACATGAAGCTCTCCGCTTTTGCCCTGCGAGCCTCTGCTTCGGCCTCTGTGCCGACCTTGTCAAAGAGGGTGAAGCGCTTGCGTGCTGAAAGCGGTCTGCATGCTGAAGCGATGATCTTGTCTCCTACAGAAAGCGAATCGGCTTCATCGTGCACCAGATACTTTTTGTGGCGGATGTAGGGCTTGAGGAGTTTGGGGTGTATCAATCGACGCTCGACTGTGACTGTGACTGTTTTCGCCATGACGCCGGCTTTTGTGACGATGCCCTCGATTGTTTGCACGACCATGATGGGGTTACGCTTGCGTCTAGGCGTCTGTGTCTGTGTTGTGTCTGCAGGTTCCTTCGGGAGGTGATGATGGCACTAGTGGTAGCAGCAGCTGAAATGCAGTCGTCTGGTCAAGGGCCCTGATTTGAGAACCAAGGATGATGGTGCGGAAGAGGAGATGATGGTGTTGAGCAAAAGCTGTTAGACGAGGCAAGGAAATGAGAATTCCAGAATTTGTTCAGAGCGTCGCTCAGCGTAAAAAGCACCTTGATTAGTCATCGCTTGTCACGCTGCCTCGCCTGTGGGATGGCTCATGCATGGCTTGGACCCTGAACCCGTCGACTGAGCGCAATGCAGATTGTGCCTCTCTTGACTTCCCTCCTTCACCTCTCTCTTCACTCGCTGTCATCAGCAACCTCTCTCATCGCTTACTGCACCACCATGATCTCATAGCAATCACTCTGGAGCGCTTGCGGAGCCCATCATGATCGACGAACTCATCCACCATTGCATTGAGCAGATCGGTCTGGACGGCGAAGCTGGAACCGAAATCGACCGCTTCGCCGACTACGTCCGTCAATTTCACATTGATCATTCCTCACGCTCGCACTCTCCCGACCAGCTCATCGATGCATCCTATCTCGCTTTTGTCTTCCGTCAGGTCCTGGGCCATCCAGATGTCAGCGTTGGTCTCTTTGTTGCCGGGATGCCTGCCAAGAGTGGGGCAAGGGGTGGCATCACAAGGAAACCCACTGCAGCCCTTGACAGCCCAGTCCCTACGCCGCAAAAGGCAGAGAACAACTCTACACACTCGTCAGAATACGACACGGTCGATCTGTTGCCCGACCAAGCCCTTGCAGAGCAACAAGGCCTCGAGAATCTTCAGCAGTTGCACGCGCATCGTCTCCGCCTCGTCCTACACACTGATCTCATCAAGCGTATACTTGTCGGCACCGACGCGATCTACTTGCCGCCTTCGAGCTATCGCGTGCTCCAGATCGTCTGTCGATCCAGAGAGCAGCCCGTACTTAGCACGGACATTGGCACAGCCATTCACACCGACCAGAAAACCGTCTTTTACATCTGCAAGCGCCTCATCGAACTCAACCTCATCACCAAGTTCCAGGCCCGCGAGACTGGCACCACCGCAAGCTACTTCGTCGCCACGCGCTTCGAGCATCGCTGCGATATCCTCGTCAGGCAAAGGAACGCGGACATCGCTACGGATCTCCATGTGTCCGCCGGAGTCCCAGCCCAGAGCTCCGGCCAGCCGTCCTCGTCCAATCCTGCCTCAGCTTCCTTTGTTTCCGTTTCCGCCGACCATCCGGCCGATGACGATGTCGAAGCCGATGTCGAAGCCGAGGACGACGATGCCGCTCCAGCCTTGACCGCACCCACCGTCACAGTCAAGGAGGAAGAGTCGCAATACCTCGACAACGCTGCCACCGACGCCATCCCGCTCGCTCCAACCTCCACGCCCATCTTTGAGCATCTCGATGCAGACAAATCGCTCCTGTGGATGCGTAGTCGTCCCGAGCTCGTGCGCTTCCGCATCTACCTCGTCTGCAACTCCACCTCGTCCAAGGTCACCGCCCGTCTCCACCTGCTCCGTCGCATCAATCTCACCTCCACTGGCCAGCCCAGGAAGGCTTTTGTCGCACTGCTCGAGCATGCTGTCGTAAACCACTTACTTGAGCTTGTCAACGTCTACGTCTCGAACACCGGCCGCACCCATCGAGGTCTTCGTATGACGCCCAAGGGTCGCGCCGAGATGTACGAAATGCTCAGCGGCGAGTACGGCGATGCCGCCACCATTCAACAGCAGGCCAAGGCTGCCAGGCTCAACGACAGGCTTCAACAGGATCTGAGCAGAGTCGATCCCGCCTTGCCTCGCGAGCTCACTCTGGAACGCCACGTTCACGAACAAGTCGCACGTGCCGGCCCCGTAGGACGTACCATCAGGCAGCTCATGACCCAACTACACGCCACCGGTCACTTTGCCCGTGCACTCGATCAGATCGTTCAACGAGCCGAGGATGCCAATGGCGAACCCGCCTTGAGCGATCTTCGCACTCGCAGCTTCCACGAGCACAAGGTCCGCGTTCGCAGCACCAAAATCTACAGCCATCACGCCTGGGTGCTACAATCTGCCAACGACGGCATATTGGATCCAGACGACGTTCAACTCCTTGCCAAGGCGGGTGGTCCAACCACCTACCATCTCACATCCTCCGCTTATGACGCTCCCGCTCAGGTCGATCGCCATTTGCACACCTTGAGCAACGACTTGTTCACGCCCACGCCTCGCAAAGGCGCTCACAGGATCGGTCGTCCGCCCAAGAAGCGCTCTCTGGACGACAACGACCAAGACACGCCGCCGCGGAAAAGGGGACGTCCCAGGAAACACCCGCTTCCGGATCCTGCTACGCCCGATATACCCAAGAAGCGCGGACGGCCGCGCAAGGATCAGACGGATTCTGCGGATTCGGCAGAAGCGTCTCCGGCTGTTGCGGAGACGCAGCCGGAGACGCCGCAATTTGCGGGCTCCTCTACTTCGCGTCGTCGCAAGGCCACGCAGAAGCAGGACGCTGCGCAAGATATCTCGCCGCCAGCACGTCCGAATCCTCGCAGCGGCTCGAAAGCATGCTCCAGCGATCTGATGGAGGATGAGTACACGCCCACCGTTCCCGACTCTCCCACTGCTGGAGTTGCTACCCGTCGCAGTCGGCGCATCGTTCAGACTCGGGAGCAAACCAGACCAAGTTCGCTGCTCGCGTCGTCTCCCGTCACTGCGATGATGGATGAGAATGCATCATCCCAGGTCGATCAGGCGGCCAATTCCGAGCCAGTTCCCACTGCCCCTGCTGCTTCTTCAACCACAAAAGACGAAGCCACAACGCAACCTGATGTTTCTGCCGAGGACCACCAAGGTCCAAAACTCAGCGAAGCAGCACCACCATCCGCCGTTGACGTCTCCAACATCAGTGACCTCATGCCAGCAGCCTCTCAGGTTAAGGCTGAGGCACCATTCGTCTTGCCTGCCACACCTGCTGCCAAGATGCAAAGCGACTACACCACCCCTACACGGACCGCATCAGGGCGGAAGAGCCGCGCCAGTGTGAAGCAACGCACCAATCTGACGCAACTTCGAAGTTCTCTCGCGCTCGTTGAATGCATTCGCGATGCAGGTGGCGCCATGGACGTGCTCCAGATTCCAGACCTCCTCAGCGATTACGTGGAGCGTCATGGCTTTACATCGGATGCTCAGCTCAGCGATCTACGCGACAGGAAGGTCAGAGAGAAGGCGCTCGCGGCTGCAGTCGACAACAACGTGCTTCGCCGTACCTTCATCCGACTCGACCTCCCCACTGCTCAATTTCCGCGGCGTCAGATTATCTATCTTCCCGAGATGCCGACGGATCAGCTGCAAAGGTATTGCGAGTCCGTCAAACAAGGTCACAGTGGCTGGTTCGGCTCGAAGGACACAAAGACAGCCTTGACCAATCCTACCAACACGGTCGCCGTTGACTCGCAAGACGCCATCCGCTTTGCAAAGCCATGGCATGTGCGCGATCCTCTGCCTCTCGCCGACTTGCCAAAGGACGAGAGCCAGCTTTTCAATTTGCGCCAATTCTTCCGCGACGTCACCAGCGTCTCACGGCAGCACCTCGGCTTCTTGGGTGGTGAGCTTATGCGGCTCAAAGCTTTCCACCTCGCCTGTGCCAAGTATATACTTGCGCGTTCGCAGGCGTCCCTTAGCGGCGATGGTGCAAGGTCGATCCCGCTGAGCTTCTTTTGGACAGAAGCGCCTCTCGACCTGTTTTTGGCCCTTGTCCCTACCGCTGTCATGGATGAATCCGCCGAGCGGGAATCGCTCGACCCTCAAGTGCGGCTCACATCGGTTCATGCATTGTCCGAGCAGCTCAAGGCGAGGCTCGGGCTGACGGGTCGCTTTTCGGACGCTGTCGGCATCTCGATCTACAGCCTTGCGACGCAGCTGTCTCAACTAGGTCTGGTTCAGCTGCACGCTACAAATGCCGCGAACGGCGAGGGTGAAAGCAAGGTCGATGTCGCGACCACGTCTGTCGAGCCCCGCCGCTATTTGCCAGTGTATGACTGGACGAGCGAGCAAGAGCTTAAGCCTCTGATCGGCTCTGTCAATGCTGGCTTGGATGTCGATCAGATCAACTGCTTCTGGATAAAGATGCAGACAATCTGCCTCAAGCTAGCCAGGGCGGTCAATGCAGACGGCGCTCCGAGCGAGGACCCCGCAGATCCGACGAGCGGCCTGGAGGCAGATGGTGTGTCCGAGATGGAGAGGTTCAAGAAGATCCCAGAGGAGCTTTCGAGCGTCCTATCCTCGGACAAGGCGTGGCGTCCTTTCCACCAACTCAGACCGTCGCAGGTCAAGTTTTTGTACCGCATCGCTGTGCAAGACATTCCCTCGGTGACGCAGGTGGAAGTCGACAGGCTTTCATACGTGACACTTGCTCCACAGCAGGTGATCCGTGCCGTGCTGCAAAAGCGCTACGAACAGGCCAAAGGGCGGGAGGACCCCAACAGTTTCGTCCAGCAACCCAAGCTGCGCTTTACTTGGCCACTCAAGCTCAGCACCATCAGCCTGCCGACAGACGTGTACAGGTCGATGGAAGCGGAAGCAGTAGCGAAGGCGACTGCAGCCGCGAGCGAGAAGCGTAAGAAGACGCAGGCCCAACGAGAGAGGGACGGACGCATGACGACGCTCAACAAGGCCCGTCAGCTCCGCGAGAGGCGCGAGCAAGAGTTCGAGTCGGTGCTTCAACAAGCCTTCGGCGACGCTTCGGCTGCCCAGAACCTTCGCGCCAAGATCGAGACTGCGCTTGAGGTGATCCGCCGCAGGTTCGTAGCTGGCGACGTTGGGTTGGACGCAAGCGCTGTTCAGGCCGCCATCTCGCGGACCATTCGGTCGGCTTCGGGTGTTCGACTCATGCCCGCTGTTCGAGCTCCAGCACGGGATCGGACACAAAGCCAACAAAAGGGATCCGGCCGCGGACGGGCCAAAGACCTCCAAACCAAGGAACAGCCGTCGCAGCAAGTCAGGGAGGGTGGGGACGCTGCCAGTGGGAAGAGCACCAAGAAGAGAGATCGTCGCAGTCGTCGAAATCCGGACCTCGGCCACTTTTGGACGCCAGCAAGAAAGGAGCTGTTGCGCGACGCAGCCGTCATCCTTCGCGTACGAGACCGGGTGCGCGGTCGATCCGATTGGTCGGCGCTGTTCCAAGTCATCGATCGCGAAGAGCAGCAGCAGACCCGTGGCGTCATCATGGCACAGTGGCGCAGTCAGTACTACCGGATGCAATCACTCTATGGCGAAGAAGCTTACCTGGCTGCGCTTGAGAGTCGCTGGATCCCGGTCTACCTGTCCGCGCGCGAGTCGGGCTCCTTGCAGGACGAAGACTTCCCCGCTGCTTCTGGATTCGACCTCGTGGCGCAGATCCAATTGCTCCGCGACGAGATCGACAAGAATGAGGTGCAGCGTTCGCTCGCCAAGCCGATCGCTAAGCATCATCTTCCCTTGCAGCTGGACGCCTCGACGGACTTTACGCGGGCGTGGAAGGAGGAGTTTGTGCAAGATCCTATTGAGCGGCGCTTCGAGGGATTCTTTGCTAGCGGCGAGATGGGCGTCACGACCAAACGTCGGGAGGCCCTGCTTTTTGCACCCTTGGGTGAAGAAGCGGACACACACGAGGGTGAAACGGGCGGTAAAGCAGAAGCAGTAGATGCGATGGCAGAGTGGGCTGTGCGTGTCGTCATCGCTAGCTCGGATGCCAACGCTCACGACGTACAGGCAGCACCGTCGGCGGTAGACGAGATGACCAAAGCGGACTTTTGCAGAGGCGTAGGCGACGTTCGCATCGAAGAGACTATGCAGCGGCTGATCGACGCCAAGCTCATCCGGTCCATGTCGACGGATCCGATGGTGCGTCGCAGGCCGGGGACTAATTTCGTGTTCACCGAAGAGCTGCAGAAGCTCCTGCCGGACCAGACTGCGGCCAATCGGTTGGCGGCAGCAGATCTGCAGGCGATTCTGAAGCATCGGAAGGAAGCGTTCCAGATGATCTGCGATGAAGGCGGGAATGGTGTTGTGGTGGAACCTGTGGAGGCGGATGGGGAGGCGGCGGCGCTGGTTCCATTGCTGGAGTCGGGCTTGGTGAGCGGCGAGGTGGACGTGAGGGCGTTCGAAGCGCTGAGGCAGGGGGCGGCTTTCAACGCGCGCGTGTTGAATGATGATGATCTCGAGGCGCTGATCAGCGTCAGAGGAGGGGCTGGGATGATGGAGATGCTTGATGCAGCGGTGGTGGGTTTGCCTGCTGTGCCGGATGATCAGGTGTTGGGATGGCTGACGGATGAGTGTCTTGTAGGGCGAGAAGGGGAGTTGGATGTGGTTTGGAGGCAGAGGTTGGAGGGTGTGGTTGGCGAGCTCTCGCAGTCGGACGCATCTGCGGCTAGGCGACTGCAGGAACTGGGTCTCGAATTGATACGATCGGGATCCCGTGGTCTGTCTCTCGACGATCGCGAGTATGGGCTTAGTCGGGAAGATGTCGAGGCACTCACATCGGGCCATCTGCCGCTGGCATTCTTCTCGCCACTCACATCGCACCCCGTGCTGGTGGCATCGTTGTTCGTGCGCGACTACGTTTTCACCGTCCCATCTCGTGGCGCGAGCGCACAACTCGTCGTACCTCACGTATGGACCACCCTTGTGCATCCAGCGGTGAGCCAGTGGCGATGGCTACTCGATACACTGGTGGCGTACGTGCTTCAACGACCAGGTATTCAGCTGGGGGTGCTCGCGAGGAGGTTCTGCGGTAGGGTGGAGGGGAGCGAGGTGGTGGGCGTGGGATTTGCGGACGTTTGGTGTGCGGTGAGGTGTCTAAGGGAGCAAGGGGTGGTCGGGGTCAAGGTGGGGGAGGGGGAAGGGGAAATGGGGAGGTGGACGTTGCATCCTGCGAGAACGGTGTGGGCTGGGTTTGAATGATGTACATTTTGGTTTCACTTCTGGTCTGCAATAGCACGCGCAATGACTTTCTTCTTCGCCGGTCCTCATCTTGCCGTCGAAAACGATGAAACAGAACCTCTATTAACAAAACACTGAGTATAAACATCCTACTGCTCGGTCTGCGATCGTTGTTCGGCCAAACTGAGCTGGATGGCGAACTTTACGTCGTCGTCCAACTCCTCTTCGGCTGCTGCTGCTGCCTTGCCCTTTCCCTTGTCTCCCGGCTGTGCGTTGGAGGATTTCAACGAAGTGGTGAGGAGCGAGGGTCGATTGCTGTTCTTCGAGGTGGTGATCCAGGCGCTGGGTGGAGAGGCGACGGGTCGTAGGTTGGGGCTTTTGTTCCATCTGCCGAGCGAGCCGGGCGCGGCGGTGGAACTCGGTCGTCTGAAGAAGCCTTCCTTAGGGCCTCCTGCGGGCGATCCTGCACTGGAACCGGTCATCAACGGGAATTCGGTCGGACTCTGTATCTCCGGCACCTCTAGGTTGCTTCCCAGACTCCATCCTCCCTCATCGCCACCGGGGGTGGACCGCGCAGATCGGGGGACGTTCACAGTCCTGACCTTGGACATCTTCCCCCACCGATCGCTGGACGGCGTACTGACGTTCGACCCTGCTTGCGAAAGGATCGTCCACGCTCTGGAGTTCGACGGTGACCCGACGCCGGATAGGTACGGAGACGCCGATGGAGACGGTGTAGCACTCGCTGGTCGATGATACACATCCAACGAGTCGTCGAGGTCGTCGGTGGATCCGAAATCTTGATCCTCCAACAACCGGTAGCTCTTCGGGATCGAATCGTAGAACGACTCTCTGTGATCCACTTCGGCTTTCGATTCGGCCAGCGCGATTTGTTCCAACGCATCTGCCAGATCCGGATCGTCCACCACTTGCTCCGGTACCTCGATCTTCTTCCTCGACGAGCTAGCATGCGATCCTGGAACGTATCCCCTGACCCTCGCCTTCTCCCTCTCCATCTCGGCCTCCTCATCCCTCGACAGCATCAACGCATACTCCAACGCCTCTTGCTCGCTTAGCCCCTCCACTTCCATCTCCCTCCTCTTCCTGATTCTACCGTACTCCTCCCTCCTCTCCCTCTCCTCCTTCTCCAACTCGTCTCTGCTCTCCCTCAGATCCCTCCTCAACTCGACCTGACTCGCGCCTTTGCTATCACCCAATCTACCCTTACCCCTGCCCTTCCCTTTCTCCATCCCTGCCACTTCCCGCTTCACATTTTCCACCTTGAACGCCAACACCTGATGTCCAATACACGCAACCAAGCCTTCCCCATCACCAATGATCTGACCTACCCTCCACCTTGCCGCTTCCTCGCCACTCAATTCGCCGCTCGCCAACATCCTCCCGTCCCTCCTCGTCGCGCTTCGATCGTTGATCGTCTTGATCAAATCGCCCGACAAGGAATCGTACACTTTGATCGTGCCATCCGATGTACCTACAAAGATGCACAGAGGTGTGATGTCGAGTGCGGTGATGGACGTGTGATGCGCTTCCCAACCGATCGACGGTAGCAGTTGTCTGGATCCGACGAACCGTGGCGTCGTGGAGGATGCTTGCCATTCGCGCTGCGTAGACTCGTCGAATGCGGTGCCAGAGCTTTCCCAATCGAAGAGGAAGAGGGACCCAGCTCTGGTGCCGACAGCAACGAATTTGCGTTCGGGATACTGACCGCTTCCATCGTAAGTTTTCGACGGACCGAGTATCAACGTCGAAGGACTATGGACCCCTCCTGCATCGGACTGAGCGGCGAGCATGGGCGACGCGTATGCGCTAGTCGACGGACTCTGTACGGCCGAGGACCGAGGATCGCGCTTCGCTAAGCGAGGCTCGAAATCAACCCTAACCGCGGTAATCTCATCCATCACCGCGGCACCCATCACCGTCGTCTCTACAGGTAGCAACGCATCCTGAAACACTCGATGACGCAACAAGACTCGAGCGCCAGAATGATGCACCAGGATGGAACAGTCTTCCGCACTCAAGTCCGCATCCGTCCCTTTGCCCGCCATCGACGGAGCAGCGTCGATGTGGATAGAGCTGATCGCTACTTCCGCCGCAGCTCCCGGTGGAAGATCTATAGTGGTCACACGGATCGACTGTGAAAGACGAAGGAAGTGAGCCTGTGCTTCCAACGTCTGCTGCGTTGGATCGCCGTTGCGAAGGTGATCTGGGTCGGTAGCTTCTGCAGGGACGCGGAGCAAGGCCGCCACGTCGAGATTGGACCAGACGAAGACCTTGCCGTTGGTGCTTCCAGCTGCGACGATACCATTTCTTGCGTCGTATGCGAGTGCGCAGATTGGCGCCGCCGGCTCCGAATTGGTCTGCGCTGGCGTCGCTGTAGCCATGGCATTCGGGATGGGCGTCTTGGTCGAGCACGAGGCGATCCAAAGCGGCCAAGAACGGTTTGCAGACCACATGCGTACCGTTCCGTCATACCCAGCAGTGACGAACGTTGATGCGACATCACCGAGCGCTGCAGTGGCCTGGCGTGAACGTTCCGGACTGCGACCTGGACCGTGGGCACCGTCGCTGTCGCTAGCAAATGGGATGGCGATGGCCGTGACAGGCCCTGAATGAGAAGCACGAGGCGTGAACCTCGAATTCTTCACAGCGCCTCTCGCGTTGGTACCTTGCCTTGACAGGACGGTCATGGCCACTTCTCCGGAGCGGAAACCCCAAAAGATATGAGAAGCGTCGGAGCTGGTGTTGATCGCAGTGACGTTAGGGCTGAATTCGACGTTCGGGTTTCCATTTCCGGCGCCGTTGGCGGTGCCTTCGGCATCGAGGTAGCCTTTGATAACCTTTCCGGTCCACGGGTTGGAACGCGAAGCGACGCCATATGTGTCGGTGGCCGAGATGAGCAGGTTATGCTGCTTCGACAAAGAGATCTTCTTGATGAGATCCACGCGCGGCGTTGACAATACGGTGGGTGTGCGTGTTTTACGCCATTGGCGGAGGAGATCGACGCGTTGTTGGAACTCATGGCGCCATGACGAGGTGGTGAGGCGACGTAGGGCTGGTGTGGCGGACGCCTCTAGTGACGCGGTGCGGTGTGCTTGGGCTGCCTCGAGGCTAAAGTAGGTGGAGAAGGCGGCCCTCCAGGTAGCGTCGTCGCGTGCGATGGCGGCCCAGGAGCGGCAGACGGCGGCGGCGCGTGAGAGCGAGATGGGATCGAGGAAGGCAAAGATGCGCATAAGCAGCTCGGGGGCTATGCGAGCAATGTCGATGGCGGGAGTCGCTGGCTGCGCAGCGAACGCGTTCAGGTGACCATTTGCCTTAGACCAGTCGCTATCGGCCAGCTGAGGATCAGTGACGCGGACTACGGTTGTGGGGACGGTGTGTGTGCCAGGATGCGATTCGCGCCGCTTGCCCTTGTCGTGCGGATCTGCATCCTGTGTGAGGACGTCAGATGCGCCAGGCGCTGTGTGTGTGGAAGCATCGTCATGTTGGGCAGAGCGAGGTGGCGATTGCAGGAGTGCGAGATGTTGAATACGTTCTTGTTCGGCTGCGTGTGATTGATCAGGGTCCAGAGACATAAACTAGGTTGATGGGGGTCGAGTGTTCAAAAGCTCGACGGGAGTGGAGAGGGTCAATGATGCGAGATTCACTGACGCGTTATGAAAGTGCCTAGTAGCCAAAGAGTGTGATGGACCGTTGCGGTGGCGAGCAGAAGATGGGTGTTGAATGTGATACTTGATGGTAGTGTCGATGATTGAATGGTGATTGCTGAGCTGTTGTGTGAGTTAAAGTGTCGCTGAAATCAACGCGTCGGGCGTGGACAGTGCAGCGCTCACAGCTGCAGCTCAGCCTCACACTGCAGCTGCATCTCGAAACTGCGATCTGAGCTCATCGCCGATTCGCCGCGCCTTCAGGGGGAAGATCGGGTAAGCCGCCGTGCTCGTCTCACGCCTTTCCTCTTCACAGCCCGTCAAAATGCCTGCAGATGCCACAGGTACGAGCTGGTGTCGATCCTTCGGGATTACTACCTGCCCTCGAACTCAAGAATCGTGTCTAGACGGGGGTGAAGAGCTATCTCGAGAGTGCGTCACATAACAGAAATAACGCCAAATATTCAGGTCGAGAAAATCCTCGTCAAATCGCTTGAGGATCGATCAATCAGACGAGCATCGGCTGCCCGATTCCCGACAGGCCAGTCGGCCGAAGTGAGTGCCCATTTCGGGTCCGATCTCTGCAGCGGGCCTCTTTTTCGGCAGATATCTAGGAAGACAGAATCGGGTGCTGGCTATAATCGACGCTTGGGCGTTCTCGATCGGGTGAAAGAGATCTGCAAGTCGCAAGAAGAAAGCAAAGACGACCGACGCAGACAACGCCGCGCCCACGCCCGGACGTTTGGTCGCCATCACCCGCCAACGACTTGTTCACAAACACCATCATCTTCTATCATCAAAAGACAGATACATTCATCCAAAATGGCTTCTCAGGATCTCCAGTGGCTTCTTGTCCGCAACAACTCCAGCTTCCTCGTTAAGCAGAAGGGTCTCGGCCGCATCTTCTCCCGCGAGCCCCGCAACCTCGTCCAGCTCCACAGCTACAAGGTAAGATCATCTTTCAACTACAACAATCGACCCGAACTGGAGCGTGCGATTCCGCACAGCAGCACAACTTGAAGTGTCATGCTGTCTCCCGACGTTTCCCGCTCTCACTCGCCTCTAAAGGTGCACAGCACGCTCAATGACCAAGCTGCAACGGCGGCGAGCCCAGTCGAGCGTACAAAGCCTACTACTTGCTCTGAATCTTGACATGTGTGCCACCCAAAGCCCCAGCTCCAGGTCCCTGACGAAGCTTATTCGCATCCCGACACCAACACACTTGCTGACCTCCACATCCACCATCCTGCATCCTTCCGCACTCACAGTACTCTGGTGTCGTCAACGCCAAGGCTGTCGGCCTCGAGGCCCCCAAGTCTGGCAAGGGTGTCGTTCTCACCACCAAGAACGGCAAGCAGACCTCCTCTGCCATCAAGAAGACCCTCAACACCACCACCCTCAAGAAGGGCGGTGGACGTCGCACTGCCGGTGCCGTCTCCAACGTCGTCGCCAAGAAGGGCTACCGTGCTGACTTGACCCGAGGTACGTTTACAATCCCAACGAACAGCCTTCAGAACTGCAGCGAGACAATGAAACAAGGACATAGGAAGGAGGGACGAAGAAGAGGACCAGAAGCGAAACACTATGCAACGCGCTAGAACCCACCCGATATCGCCGTGAAGGTCTGGGCGTAAAAGCGATGCAATATCAGTCACGGGCGTCTGGACGGAATCTCGCTTTTCGGAGCTTGCTTTCTCGTGGGGCTCTGCAGTTTCTCGCAAAGCTGCTTAAGCTCACCAATGTTGTGTTGCTCCTGCTGGAGCGGTGCGACTGTCCGACGTACATTTTTGGTTGACCGAGGAGCCGGGAAATGGTTCGGATGAACGGTCTGCAGTTGCCGGAAGACGTCTCGAATTCAGGACGAATGAAACAGCAGCATTACTGACTTTGACCTTACATCTGCATTTTCCTCGCGAATACAGCTGCCGTCGTTCGTGCTTCCGCCATCCTCCGCTCCCAGCGTGGCCGCACCCAGCCCCCCGCCCGCAAGGTCCGCGGCACCGGCTCCCGCAAGGTCGTCAAGGTCGAGGAGCCTGTCGCCTAAGTGTGCGACCTCTCGTGTCTCTCTTTCGCCTTGCACAGCTCAAAATTTGACTGAATGAACTAGATCATTCACGCAATGCTATAGTTTGCAGTCCTTGGATCGTTTGCTGGATTGTGACTGAGATCGTACCAGCCCCGAGAGCAGCTTGGTTTGTGTGAGTTGGGCGGCACGAGGCATCAGGTAGAGTCACCCACGATCGCTGTGGATGCGGCTGGTCTGGTCAGATACGATTTCCGAAAGTAACACTGGTCGGAACTTGCGTGTCGGGAAGGATCGCGGGGTGAAATCGGAGGCCTCCGTCCCAACGCGGAATGGTCTCCGACCTCGCCCATGAAGAAACCTTGAGCCGATCCAGATCTGGAGCTTCTGATAGCACGAATAGTGCGAAAAGAGCATAATGCACAAACTTCGACCTCATATTACGCAATGGTGGCATTCATATAGCAGCCTGTGGCTACACCGTGTTTGCTCTCAACCCATCACACTATCTACAGCGTAGCCGTCTGAATCTCACGTATCGGGGGTTATGTCGAGACTCGGCGCTGATCGCATATCGACGTATGCGACCCCGATGTCGATCTCGATGCTCATTCGGCAGCGAGACACATGCTTGTCAAAGGCTGGATGATGACAATGAATGCCAACGCAACAGCACGTGCCTGCCAAACCGTCTCATCGTTCGTCGATCGACTGCACGTGCAGGTGGATTTGCTTGTCGCATCCCTCGATACCAGAGTGAAGGATCGACAAAGTGAGGCAGATCGTGCCTGTGTCATCTTCGTCAGACTCGCGACGCTATCCGACAGCATCGATCAACGATCCTCAAGCACTGGATCGAAACTGAATGTTCCAACACCGCATAGGTGGGGGCCAGCGACACCGAAGCTGATTTTAGCCAGCCGATTCAGGCATCCTCGCTGTCGAATTGATGCGTGTAAGAGGGCATCGTACACGGGTGAAACGGCATATGGCATGTACAGCCCAAATGTGCTCTTGCGGCCTTACCGTCGATCGGCATGGCAGGTGTCTGGCAAAAAGAAGAGGATACTTTTCGATAACCGACAGTGAGACACGCACCAAACATACGGCACGGGTATCCTGCTGAGTCACAACCTCAGAGTTCGACGCTAAGCGCTAGCCGGCACCAGTACCAATGCTCTGGGATTCGTGGGGATGGAGGAGAAATTTGAATGCAGCTACTGTACAGAAGTGAGGGAGGTAGATCACATTCCAAGCCACAATCATTTCACGACGTCGGCACAACGGTGAGGAAATACTTTTGTTGGACGTGAGTGTTGCTGCGAGGAACGCGCCTCAAGCGCGCAGATCCGATTCCTCTTGACAGGTCCTGTCATTGCGGACCGAGGGTGCGGTGACAGTGGTTTTGTCCATTTGGCAGTGTACGTGCCCTGCCCGATCTTGTTGGTTCTCCGCTGGATGGCATTGACTGCACGCGGTGTTACACGATGCACCCCGCAGAAACGGTGCGTGCAGTGCTGCTGCGGTCGGAGGATCGTGTTGAGCCATCAGTCTGCGGTACGGCGTTCGAATTCTTCGACGAAAGTAATCGCTCCACTGTACATTCACAACTCATTCGGCGGATGAGACGTCAGCGGTAGCCTGAAAGGTCCTCCAACCACTAGCTTATCTTCGCAAAGTACATGACGCAACGAACTGACTATCTCGAGCAGAAATCAAGAATGGTGGCTTGAGGTGATCGTTGCGCCGATCAGTCGATCATTGCTGACTTGGGGTGGCTTGAAAGTACTGTATGATCACCACCTTTCTCAATGTTCGAACGAAGACTATTCCGGCAGATTCAAGGCGAATTGAAGGTGAGCCTGACTCAGGCGATAAGGGACATGTTTCGAACCTGTCTTGTGTATGCGAGAAGCTGCCGGCGATCCTTTACCCCCTATACCCACGTTTCGAAGACGCGAGGTATTCGAGTGCGATTCTTTTGCGTCAAATGGAGTGCGTAATCGACGTCGAAGCATCGCTCGTACCCATACACATTCCTTTGATCGACGAGGGCCTCGTGAGGCTTGACTCGATCTGCCGCCCTTCCGCGGATAAGTTAGAAAATAGAAGCCCGACTGACGTGAGACTGATGCTGAGCAAAGCCACCCTCTGTGCATCGCATGAGCTCTTTCCGCAGTACAGTCGGCGATGCAAAGCATGCAGGAGCAATGTGCAGTCGCGAAGCAGAGCACGACCAAGCGAGCGACTTCATTGATGTGAAAAAGCGGGGCGGGGACAACTCCACGAGATCTGTGCCACCGCCCTAGCTGTCAGTTGCGAGCCTAAGACGGACGGGACTTTCCCCCCCCCC